TATACGAATATCATACAATGTTAATATTTAATGAGAGAAATGGCATACATAGTTTTGAGCTAGTTTTTTAGTTTGAAATTTGCTACTCTTAAACAAAAATAATATACACTGAGCGTTTTCAAATACGAAGATCAATTTATCTTGAATGATACTTATTCTTTAAAAACATCGTTTTAGAGAACGAAATTCCACATATGGAATATATATACAAGGGCATATTTAAAGGTCAATATATGGAGGGGTAAAATAATTTTAACCTGTTTTTTACCAGTTTTAACCTGTTAATTTTAAAACCGGAAGTTAAATATAAAAACTAATAACACTGTCCTACCAAACGAAGATTGTCCTAGATATCTCGGAGTAAAAATCGATAGAGCTCTGACATTTAAAAAACAGGGGTAAGCCGCTTTAAGTAAGCCTTAGGTAATCCGTCTATTTCCGACTTCTGGTGATTGTCTCATGTTTTTAGATCATTTTTTTAGTGTTCTTGAATTCAGTTCAAAATTATTTGGACTGAGAACCACTGTTCCAATGTTCACTGTTAACTGTGACATTTTAGACCACCGGTTTTGGTAACTACTCACTCGTCAAAAGACCTGAATTTGCAGACAGACAACGTAGTTATTGTATAAAATTTTCCACGCGAAGGTATGCAAAAAAGAAAATTTGTTATTGAAAAGTTGACACATCACAATTAGGATATGCTTATTGAACAATAGACACAATTGTTATATTGTTAAAATTCCAGAGAACAATGCTCATAACATGTCCGACATAAATCTTTGTTTAAAAAAAAAAAAATCGGTAACAAGAAAAAACGGTTTTTGCCATGGTTATTTTAATTGACTTTAATTTTTTATGAGTTTTATGTTTTTGATTCAAAAATTAGCTATTTTAACTATTAATTATATTATATATGCAATAGCGTAACCAGAAAAATATTTGGGGGAGAACTTTAGTTTTCATTTCTCTTTTATATAAGTATTAACTTTTTAATTTGAATAAATCGATTAACCATAAAATGTTTTATTATTCAATTTATTGTAACATTTTTTAATGATATACATGTCTTAAATTTATTGTATATTTTAGAAAATAAGAGACATTTGGGGGGGGGGGGGGGTCGGCAGTAAATTAACTAATTTGGAAAATTAAAGTTAAATACTTATAATGATAGTATTGAATAAAATTAATAGACTGAATTAGTAAACTGAATTAAGATAATATATCACTGATGGTATTCTTACATAGGTACACTCATACTTTTATAAACATTAATTAATTTAATAATACTCTCAATTATTTAACGCAAATTGTCGTTGATATGAAAATCGTTGGTTAAAATGGTCATCTGAATTTGAACACTCTTACTTTATTTTGAGAAAATTTCCTGTAGTATTAATGAGAGACCAATTTTTTCATGAACAAAAGTATTTTCGGTCTAAACGGAAAGTTTAATTTAGGGGAATATGTTTGTTTATAATAATAAGTTATAACGACATTTTAAAATCAAACGAGACTTCTTTAGTACCCGTTTATTTGAAAACTGGTTTTTGTTATAACTGAAATATACAGATTTCAGGTTTTTGCTGAATGATTTCATAAACTCAAGGTTCCGACCAAAATAGCTAAAATAATCTTGCAAATATCCTCAGGTAGGTACAACTAGTTTTTACTGGAAAGTCATAGTTATTAAACTGATTTTCAGTATTTCTTACAATATACTTACATACATATAACATTATAGGAGGTACTAACCGTATTATTTATTTCTGTCAAATATTATTTACGGCAAAAATTGTTATCATCTAATTTTGTTAAAAAACACCAGGTACACTTTATTCTGGATATAACAGTGGAATAAATAGTTGCGAAACACATTATCGTCATCAGTTTCTATTGACACACTTTACTATGTATATTTTAACCATATGATCTAGTAAAAATTATAGAAAGTACATAGACTTTTTTATATAGAAGAAATTATAACGTTATAGTTTATATGAATTATAATAATGTGTTACCAAAAAAAAAAAAAACGACCATTCAAATATATAGCACATAAAATAATTTTTGCATTTTTTTTCTTCATTTATTTGAAAAGGTAAAACTAAATAAATAAATATAGTGAGACCAATTATGCTATATGGTTCGGAGTGTTGGGTGGTTGACAGGAAAATATAACAGAGTATGAGTGTTACGGAAATAAGAATGTTTAGACGGATGAGTGGAGTGACAAGAAAATATAGAATAAAGAACGAATATGTGATAGGTAGTTTTAGTGTAGCATCAATACTGGATAAGATAAGAGAAAATAGACTGAGATGGTTTGGACATGTGATGAGGCGAAAGGAAAAAAAAAGCAGTAAGATTGGTTATGAAAATGAACGCTGAAGGGAATATAGACAGAGAAAGACCAAAAAAAATATGGTTGGATATGATTGAGAACGATATGAGAGTTGTTGGTGTTTGCGTAGGGGATGTATAAAATCGAGACTAGTGGAGGTTTAGCGCAAAGGTGGCCAACCCCAAATAGCTGGGAGAAAGGCGAGGGAAAAGGAAAAGAATATTTGAAAACGTAAAAATTGTTTATTCCTAGAACAGTAATCGATTAGTGATTGAATCGAGTTTTACTAACATGTTATATCACGAATATGTGTACTGTATGTCAGTGTACTCCCATCAATTCTAAGACCTTTTATGTTTTAGTATTTTCATTCCCTTCGTTTTCATATTTTAAAAAGTATATAGAATAATCATAGGCACAATGAGTACGTACTAACTTTATCCGTATGAACGAAATAGGTACATCGACACGTATAAAATACAAATCGAAAAAATTACACGCATTAAAAATATCATTGTTTCAAGATATAAAATGTAGATAAACATTACTCTTAGTTAATAACGCATCTAAAAGTACGTTGTTAAAATAAAGAAATTTAATCGAAACGCTCTGCAAGTTTCCCACCCACGGAGAATGGTTGAATTTTGCTTCTCCGAAAACGTTCATAAGTCATAAAATAAGCTTTATGAAAACACTCAACAGCTAAAATCGAAAACAATTTTTAGAAGTATCGATTTAGCACTACACGTTTCAACCTGTGGTACGCACATACCACTAACGGTACACGTAAAGTTCATATGTGGTACGCGAAGGAAATCTCCCTCTATATAAAAAAAGATTTATTACTTCTGACTGATATTGATGAAGACAAGTTTAAATTGTTTTGCGATGACGAATGGCAGTCAAGACTAACGTAAATGGCTGACATATTTGACCGTTTGAATGTTCTAAATATGTGTCTGTAAGGCTCAAACACAAACATATTTTATGTTAGCGATAAAGCTAATGCATTCATCAGAAAGTTGTATTTATTTATTTCGCAAGTATCCAGGAATCATTGTTCATCATTCGAGACACTAAACAAATGTTGGAAAGACAGGGATAATCAGTCAAATTAAAATATAATTACAGAAATTTCAAAACACCTATAATCACTAAAATATTATATTTTCTACGGTATTTCCCTGAATGTAACTCAGAAATTAAATGGATCATAATCCCATTCGAAGAGGATTATATTAAGAACATTTCAGATGTTATTTTGGCGAAATAATCATTTATTGATCTAACCAGCGACTTTGCTCTAAAAATTGCTTTAAAAATGGAAAATATCTCGAATTTTTGGCTGGATATAAAACAAGAATATTCAGCGTTATCCTTACAAGCTTTACAATTTCTAATACTTTTTGTGCCAACATATCTGCGCGAAAATACATTTTCTCACTTATTGTACACAAAAAATAAATATAGAAATTAGTTGAGCGTAGAAAGTGATTTTGGATTAAAAATTACCGATATGGAGCCTGATATTGATCGTCGTTTATTCAAAGTAACACCGACCGTTATTGAAGTAAGCCATTATAATTATAATAATAAAAATAATATTAGATGGTATTTAATTTAATTTTTGTACATTAAATGCTGATATGTATAGTGTCTTAATTTTTTAGTTTCAAGTAAAACAAAATTCCATACATGTAAAATAACGTATACATTTTCTGTAAGCAAAAAAAGAATAGGTAATTAAGTCAAGTGGTACGTGAAAATTTTAGAACCGTGGAGGTGGTACGCAAGTATAAAAACGTTGAGAACCGCTGGTTTAGCAGATAATTTATGTCGGTGTATTGAACAACTATTGCTACTTCAGCGTGGTGGTTATAGGGAATTTTGAATTCCGTTTTTGAATTACGTTACGGTTAAAATGTTTGCATATACATGTGGACGAATGCAATTTCGCCAAAACTAAACTTAGCGTGCATAAGGTCGTTGACCTCAGAAAATAAATTTCACTTAGAAGAAACGTGATGATATAAAATCTAACCATCAGAAAAATAATACAACCAATAGGAAGAAACTTGTGATTAACAATGATTTTTATTCCGATTTAAGTGCAAATTCAATTTTGAGTAATATTTGCATTATATGTGGTTACTTAAGATTTATCTGATGTTTTTTTTTTTTCTGATAAATTTAAAACTAAATTATATTATTCCGTATCAAAAATTGGTCGTAATGTGTTTTTTTCTGAATTCCGCAATCCGTTTTTAAAACTCTAAAAATAAATTACTATTATTACACGTATTTTCTTTTTTGTATTGAAGTTAAGTCCTTCTTTGTCCTTATATAAAATTGTAAGCTGAGCTCCAATTCAAAATAATTTTCTGAATACGTCAGTGTATAATTGAAATCAGTTGTATAATTTTAAGTCTCCCGCCCACTCTATTTATAAAACTATTCCGGAAGGCCAAAATTATCATTATAAAATTCGATGATAAAATATTTAAATTTATTCTGTAAAAAATGTTTTGAAATGCTATTTCTATGATACGGCCAATAATATTTAACTCAAAACCTGTTTTACCTTTTTTACATGTTCATAACATATGATATTTTGGAGTAGGTAATGTGAAATTATTAGTGCTACAATAATATGTATGGAATGTTACTGCTAAGTTTATTGTAGACAAATATTTTTATAAATAAATATGCTACAGTTTAGCATAAATACAAATAATTAAATACATAATGTTATAAATACACAATACTTTAAGGTGCGAAAATAATCATAAATTAATAAATAATACATGGTTGAGTTTGATGTTTAACGATGTAATGGTAGGACTTTGTCAAAATCTTGATCTGATTCTAACGATTGAGGAATAAAATCACTGCTAAAAAAATATGTTAGCGTACAATTAGTATAATTATACATATCATAGTTATCAAAAGTCGTACACTAAACACATTTAAAAATTAGAATATATATTAAAAGTATATAAACCTTATATTATATTGGCAAATTTTTCACATTTTCCATGGGAAATCATAAGAAATGCAATAAATATAGATATTTAAAAAATAGATTTCAAGATGAATTTCCCCTCACTTTGAAAATTAATTAAAATAATTTGTCATTTGAAGCTATATAGTTCATGTGCGAGATATGTTATCAAAGAAATACGGACATTATAAGAAGATCAAAGAAATTGAATCTGAATTTTAAAGTACTATAATATGTTATTTTAAAATTATTACCTGTTTTTTTTGATTTGTAGTTAATTTTGAAGCGAACATCTGGGTTATTAGAAGCCTGAACGGCCGCTCCACTAGTACATAAAGGAACAATCCAGCTATCAAACACATTACAGTATCGGAAATCGCATCGGTTACCTGAAAAATGTAGAACATATTAAATATTGAGCACATTATGTTTATAATTATTTTACCGTTATACCAATACTACGATGTAGTTATATGGGGGTGTCGATTGTGCATACTTGAAATACCGAATAATATCTTCCATAGGTGTATTAAAGGGTAGGTAACCAAATTTACTATTTATGTACAAACACAAATTTTTGGTAGATATGTTAAACATGTTATTATACATGAGTTTTTGTTATTAACGAAGTTTATCATAAAAATTATTTTAACCACAGTAGAAATTTATATTATAAATGGATTTTTATTTTGTATGGATAAAATGTAAGTAATTCATTGCATATCGTTTTTCAATACTATCTGTGCCTCTTTGGTTCTACTTAGTGCGTGGATAATCAACGTTCTATTGTATTGTTTTTTAACAATATTTGTGTTTATCGAGCATAGTATAGTTTATATGGTTAAAAAGTACAAGTAAAGCTATTGTTTAGTTTTATATTGAAGAATGATTTCGAATTAATTATTTTATAACCATCAAAAAAATTAAAACTATGTTGATCGAGTAGGTATTTTTCACAGTTATGATATTTTACAAATAATATATTTTCTTGAAATCAGTATCACTATACACGAATACATTATATTAATATATTTGCAATTAATTTTTCTTTTGTTTTTCAAAATGTACTCGAATAAAAATTCATGTATCTATTAATGTTACCCTTTGAAAGCTTTAAACCTTGATTCAGATGATTTTATCTTAACTAAATCCTAAAAAAAACACGAAAGTTATTTGAGTTTATTTTTTTTTTTACGTTAAGAGAAAAAAAAATGTTTAGTTAATGTTTTTATCCGGCACCCAGAGAATATTTTTTTTTATTGACTTTTTGTTAGAAATAATATTTTTTTAACTGCCACTGTTCTAAAAAATATAAAGAATTTTGAATCTTAACTTTGGATTTTTATGACTATTTTTTGAGAATTTATAACTTAACGAACGGGATTGTCATACATTTTATGTTCAAGTTATGTACTTTTATCTCTACGGGAATTATTCGTATACTTAACATGCATGAGAGTTTTTCTTTGTCTTAGATTAAAATTAATTTTCATTGAATACTAAATTTCTGAGCTATTTAATTACAAAGGAAGTAAAATATTTAAGAATCTTTTTGATTCAATACCAAACTTCATATTTTAAATCGTTCCTCATCATGTTTCAATTATTTTCTCTTTAGCCATCTTATAATAAAAATCTATATGATTAGTTATAAGCTTATGATTTATTAATTTATGACTGTTAATATTAATGTTAATATTAACTATACATATTATTTATCTTATAACTAATAAAAAAACGAAAAGTATTACGAATTTTGTATATTTAATTCTTTTGTATTAACATAAATATTTTTTTTAAGATTATATTTATCTTGAAAAAATGTAACCTCAAAAGTGAAATTAGTTCTTTATACGAAAATTCATTTTTAGTTTTAATGTATACTAATTTACCTAAGTATAGTTACGCAAGTTGTAGGCTTGTGGCACTTACTTTTACTTACACAATGATTATTTGCTCTTAATTTTTGGAGAATTACAAGTTAAAAATTATAATTTTTTTTTAATGTTTAACCTATATTAAAACTACTAGCTGAAGAATACATTAGATTTAAAAATTGATGAGAACAAATTAGAAATGTACACAGTACATTTGTTTGTCCTTGCATGAAAATAATAAAAAAACGAATCATTGAAATACATTTATAAGATAATTAATTTTAAAGAACAAAATAAATCACAAAGTTTATGCTCGTATTAAAATATTATTTTCGTATTAAATCATTTAAATTTTCCTTCCGGTTATAATAATCTTTTTGTTTCAAACTATGTAAATTCGTAACAAAAAATTTAGGTATACTCGACTTTTTGGTAATCAATCAAATAAATTAAAACTAACACACAGACTTATAATCAGATATATATATAATTATATATATATAATCGGATTTTGAACCTGGAGTTAAAGCACAATGATGAAATAACCATAAAATGATTAATAAACTACATTCTGTTTTACTATATACCTACTGTACCATAAGGCTGCTTTTCATGAAAATGACTCTTTTATAAAATATATGCTATGGAGTTTAATCATTTTACTTTTCACTGTGCACCACTTTTAATACTAAAACCACGTAATAACCTCACTTGTCACTTAATTCGATTTCCTTTGGTTGTTTTAACGATTATTACGGGATCAGTAGACGAAGCAAAAACTGAACTTAACGTCATTAACGCGTTAATTATACCAGGATTATCGTATTTTCCCGAGTGAAATATATTAAACTCTTTTCATATCAATGATACTAAAAAAATTAATTTTAACGTTACTTTTTTGTACATTTATAAAAAAATACAACGCAATACAGTGGTGGTATTAAATTAAAACTAGAATCAACCACTTTTCAACACGTTAACATTAATATTGTACAGTTATTAAATAACGTTCATATGTATAAATGATTATACGTCCCTGTACCTTATGCGCGCGCTCTTATGTTTTGTAATAATATTACAAAACATATGTCAGTCGATTTGCATTACGTCAACTACATTTTTACCCCAAAAATCTGATTTGACTATCGATTTCCTTATTTTATTTTTTCCCCGCTGAAAAGTATAAAAGCGTTAAAATGGAATCACTTACGAAGTTCCTGATGTCGAAATGGTCCGGAGTTCGCCGGCTGGCTGTGTCGGCAACTGGGAGTATAGTGTTCACCATGTAAGCGTTGAAATTTAAGCTGGCTAACGGTATGAACGGTTTCCACGACAACATGTTCTTCACAAAATCTGTTAAACAAACGCGGTAATATAAAATGAGATACGTACGAAATTAAACGAAATGTACTGGTAAAACGTCATTTATTCACGTTCGGTTGATACGCGAACGGTCGCGGACGTAATGGGTTTGAAACCCACGCGTCTCGTTACATGTAAATTGATCGCAATACCGTTCTTTCGAATGAATTCCCCATGCATGATGTGCAAAAGACTTAAAGAACCATGGAGTTAATACTCGATAAAACCAATAGTCTAAGATCTAAACACACAATATTCTGTATCAAGACATTACAAACGTTCACCAAGAACTGATGTTTTTTTTTTCTTTCGGATTAAATATTTTTTATGATTATTTATTATAAATTTTATAAAATTTTCTTTTATCAAATTAAGCCTCAGCTACTACGGCCACTGACTGTAATGTAACAATGTACAGTTAAAATAGTTAAATTACAGTTAGTTAAATTAATAGTTTAATCAAACGACTACCTAAATTAGACATAATAAAAAAATGTGTAATGTGATTTAATTTGTCCGGGTGAATAGCCTCTATAATTAATATATTAATGTTGGTTATTGTTATTTATAGTGTAACCGTAATTTATAGTGCAATCGAAAAAAAAAGAACAATAACAATCTTAATGATTATACATGTATCTACTGTTTAAAATTATTTAAAATTATTTAAAAAAAATATATAATTTAATTCACATAGGTTTTTTCAAGTTGCACAGTACGATATAAGTATAAGATACATAACAGTACGTAAATAGAAATTAAATCTGACTGTATATTTATGAAATGAATAATTTTATCATAATTTAAATTACATTGAATATTTTAATCGCTCTTTTTACATCTTACGAAAAAATATCAAAAACTAGAAGCAACGAAATTGTAGACATGAAAATTATTATTTCATATTAGATGGCCTAAAATTTAAAACAATACAGAAATTCTTCAAAATATAATAGATTAGGTTACAGCATTTATAAATATTTTTACATCGAGAATCAGAAAACTTATGGGATGTTTAATAAAACATAACTTCTCCATAATATCAATATAATAAATGTAGTAGACGCAAAGAAAGTGGTAGACAAAAGAAACATTCCATAGAAGAGATTATTTAAATTTAATTTTTGTCACGAGAAAGATTAATCTTTAGTAAAATAATACATTTTGAATGCTATCATAAAATGATGATTTTTTCACTTTATAATGTATTTTTTTAATATAATATTTATTTTGGTGAACTGGTCTTTTGATAAAACATCGTATTATTTTCATATTTTCGCTATGATTGTATGTTCATCTAATTGATTTTTGGATATTGCGGATGTATTATATTATGCATATCGAAATACTATTTTTATTAAATTATATTATAAAGTTATCTATTTAATGTATTACACTAGGATGTGAATTTTATTCGAATTGTTTTTCTAGAGCTTAATGATTTTCTCGTTAAGTATACGAAGTACACAGATATAATATTTCTTTGGAGTGGGTGTATCAGACTTTCTATTTTTTATTACATTTAAAGTCATAAATCAATCTAAACTATAATGCATATTAAATTAAGTAACTTACTATTTATAAGCATTGTAAATTAATATGTTACTTACTCGGTGGACCAACTATAAGCGCGTATAGCCCAATTACTAGACCAGCAGCCCAAAGACTTCTTATGGTTGATCCATAAAGAGCGGCTTGCAAAGGATCGTAAACATAAGAAGGATGATATATTAATGCTCCACTGAACCAAGAAGCCATACATATTAAAGTAGAAATTATCAATAAAATCCTGGTGTGCGTCTGTTAAAGATAAAAATTGTTTTTATTAAACTGTTACTTTAAATTATTCAGAATAACGTGAATAAAATAAATAATATTTCATTGGTAATAATATGTTTAACGAAACATGTATATGCAACTATTTCAAAGCACTATATTAATTAAATATGTAATAATGTAATAAATAAAATTAATATAGTATTTTCATGTTCCATTATTCAATAAGAGAAAACAACATTTAGATTGTTGTGTTGGTAAACGACTTATCTTACCATGTTCAATTTATTTGTGCTCTTTTTTCTTCTGTATAATAGATAACCGAATAAAGCACCAACTATGTAAGGTCCAGCACGAGTATGTGATTTTATGTATATTGTCATAAAGTAATCATCATTTGTTGGATTTGTAGTGAAACTAAAAGTAAAGACATTTAATCATACATTTTGCTTAAAAAGCTATGAAATATTTTTGTTAAAGATTTTAGAATTTTAGTTCACTGATTTTTATAACTGTGAATTTTATTAAAAATATTTTGTAAAACCGGAAGTATATAATATATATATATATTCATACATGAATTATATTGTTTGAACATAAATAGTGAAAACTTCTTTAATTGTAATGTTTATCCTTCTATTCTCTAATAATTTGAATACTTGTTCATTTAAAATATTTGAGTTGTTCAATTTTAATTTCAGTGACAAACGTTTAATAATGTAATTGCTTAAAATCGAGTGGTATATCAAAAAAAAAAAAACGACTGTACAGTTAAAAAACGAAGTTAAATAGCTACCAAATATGTTAAAAAATGTAAATTAATTTTTTATTTGGTAATGTTTCCTTACATTGATTCCATAAATTAATAAATATTTACTGGCAAAATTGAGATTCATTTAAGCATAAGGTTCTTCAAGTAAAATTTTGAATTAAATTAAATTATCCTGAATAAGTAAGTACTAATAATAATTTTATTTTAATATGTACTTTAAAAATAAAATAATACTCCAGGCTAAGCATTTGCTTATTTGTATATTCATTTTATATAATTATTATGGCTATCGCAACATAATATAAAGAACACATTGTGTTATTTTAAAACTCAAAACGTTAGTTTAAGTATGTAGTTGTAATGGCCAAGAATAAATATACTTTTAAATAACCGGTTATTTAAAATGATCAAGTTATTCTGAGTCTCATAATAGTCTTATAGCCTATTATTAATTTACTATTCAAGATTTTTTTCAATTTTCGAACTGCACATATTAACAATTTTGCATTTGCCAAGATGAATAATTTTCGATTTCTTTTTTCAATGACATTCATTACATACTTGGATACATAAATCAAGTGTATATATATATATTATTAACTTACTCCATGTTAAATTGAATATTTGCAGGTTTTTGACCTATATACGTGAGCGCAAATGGTATAGCAACAGAAATAGCCATAAGGGTTGAAGTTAAATACATTCCGATCCTAGGATTTTTATGCAGTGTGTACGCTAATCCAATACCAATTATCGTGAAGTGAAATTCGCATGGCATGAACCACGTATGGTATCCGCACTGGTGAATAAAACAAATTACATTTAACCAAAGATATGTATGTGCATTCGCGAATTCGTGAGACAATGTGAACTTACTGTTTTATCAGTCTCGACGTAATTATTCAGATATAACAAGCTTAACCACCACGTTTGTTGACAATTTCTTTTGTCTGTGCCGATGAAAACTTCCCACAGAGGACCAGACCCCATTTTATACTGAAGTGTGGCAAAAAAGAATATAATCACTGCGTAAACAGGCGTTAATCTGTATAGGCCGAAATTAAAATAGTTAAAACAGATATGCATTTATTCAAATTACTATATTATGTGCAAGAATTTCACCTGAAGTACTTGAACACCAATACTTTAAAGGGATTGATGAATGAAGTTTCAAGACGGTCGAGTAAAATGAGGATCATCAATGCACCGCTCACGGCGAAAAACGTATCCACCAACAAGTCCATGTGAGAAGTAAATATTGAAATGAAGTAATTATAGAACACCTAATAATAATCATGAAATAATATAATATCTTAGAGTTGGCGTCATAAAACGATTACTAATCGTACTTGTTCATTAACTTCGTAGTTTTGTAAAGGACCCGGTAATCGAAAACCCCATCTGTGTCCGATTATGATAAGAACCATTGATATAGTTGTGGTTCCACACAAAGGAGTAAGATCCAATCCTCTGACTACGCAGTTTTTATTTTTCAAACTCTGCATTGCTCGTCTACTGGAGAAACACATAATCAAATCTACGGACTTAGATTCTGAAAATTTTTAAATATTCAACAATTAAACAGAATGTAGTGCTATACTACTGTAATGATTGTTACATATTATTAATGTCTACTCATGTGATATGGATATTGCTGAGTAGACATTACGTTAATTTACATGTTTACGATATTACATTAAGTCGTGGCAGTTCTGCCACGACGTTCTTTCGATGTAGCTGAACTCCATATTGTCTTGATGTAGTCCATAGTCCGTAAAGTCATATTTATATATGAATATTAAATAATAATAACTAAACTAAATCAATCTACATTTATTTGTAATATTAAGATCCTTCCTTTTATGCTCCCGAGCTACGGTATAATATATTCATAAGGACTAAAAAACCTTCCCTAAATATCATATACTTAACTGGTCATCCCCAACCACGTTACATATTAGTGGAGGCCCCATAACTAATTGCTATTACAAATATTTGGGATTGATTTAGATTTTTATTATATAGTAGTTATTAAGTTATTTGGCATTAGTGTACTTTTAATAAAAATTAAATTTAAAGAAGTTTAGAGAGTTGTTTGGTGAGAATTTATGAGACTTAAGTATTGAAGATAATAGTGTAGGGAAATGAAAATAGTAAAAGTGTAGTTTTATTATGAATTTTTAATTTTTTATTACAAAAAAACAGTATTGATATTTATAAATTTAATTTACAACATTTATATAATTGTTGTATTGATAATTATAGAGTAAGCAATTAAAGAATAAAAAATATAGTTATTAAGAGTAGGGTAATATAATTTTTATTTCCCTGCGAGTAAAAATAATTAATACTTCAATAAATAATGGTACTAAATGGATAACAAATTTTATATTAAACGTTATACAAATAATCAAATTACAAAAGTAAATAAAATTAATTTATCATGTTTAGATGCAAATTTTGGTCCCGAAATAAATGAACAAAATTTAATTAGTCTGCGACGACAAATCGAAGAGGCCAATTTAGGAAATTTTTTTTTTCAAATTCAAGATTTGGAAAATTACCATTTTCTGCTAAACTTATACAAAAAATTCGAACCGTGTACCCTATATGTGGTAGAAAGTTTAGAAAAGGAAGAATTCAACCAATTACTAGTGGAAAAGAAACTCGAATTTATAATTTTTCATAAAACTGTAGCGTGAATAAATTTATTGGATAAAACTGAATTAGTGGGTTTCTTAAAATTTTGTAACGTACATAATGAAATTACATCTACAATTATGGAGTTAAAAAATGTGGCTAAATAGCAATAAAAAGTTTTAGAAACAATCAAGACCTTGATGATAGCCTTAACGAGACAAATTTAACATTTACAGATGATAGTTTCCCAATTAATTTAAATGATAGTGGAGATAATTTTTTAAACGTAATTATTGTAGAATACACCGAAACGGATAATGTAGATACTTTAAGCATAGGAGAAAAATCTGCGATTGAAAAAAATCCTAAAATAATAATTAATAAAAAGAAGTATAATATAGAATCAAAAATGTCATTTAAAATGTTACATTAGCCACAGCCATTTTCAGACGATTTAGATCAAGATGTAGAATCATTTTTTGATATTTATGAATTGGCTGCTATTGTAAATGAGTAGGGCGACCGAGAAAAGATTATTTTTATACCAATTTATTAAAAGTCCACAGTAGAAATTTTTTTTAAAATTATTTAATTAAAAAACCCTGAAATTACATGGCACGATGCAAAACAACAAATAAAAGAAAAATTTACCACCATAGATAAGAAAAAACTGTTACTAACACAATTAAAATAAAAAAAGTTAAAGGAAGGTGAGAAATTAAAAAGATTTGTTTTAGATATAATTGATAATAGAATAGATGTAGACATGAAAGAGGAAGATATTTGCGAAAAAATTTTAAATTGTCAAATGAATGAGGTGTATGAAAAAATCGAAATGTTAGACAACTCAACTATAGGTAATATAGAAAATAACCTGAGAAAGTACGAGCTATCAATATTAATTAGATCAAAAAATGATAAAGCCAATAAAGACACTGAAATGTTAGAAAAGGAAATAGATGAACTAAAAAATCACTTACAAAAATTAAGTATGGGATAATTGAATATAAATAATTGGAGAAATGATGCTGGGAGATTTAACAACAGAAATAATAATAATTTTAATACAAAACGTGTTCGACCTCAGCTCAGAACACACGTGTGTTACGTATTTTTTAGCTATCGATAGCACTATTTATTATTCAACAACTTTTTCGGGTAGGTATGTAATTTACTTATCTTTATCGATTCGCGCTAGTTAGTAAATTAAACCGCTGTCGGCATACCCAGCGCAATCAATTGATATTATGGCTTCGGCTACTTTATCGGGTACAGATACCCACATAAAAACACTATCTACATCACAATTAAAAACCAATCTATCAAAATCAATCGCAAATACTACAGCCAACACCATTTTTCCAAAAAAAGAAGCTATTGATCAAAACACCATCAATAAACATAAACATATTGTCGATGAACTAATTAAAAATGATTTATTTACATCAATAAACGAACATCAAATACCTATTCGCCGACTAGTCAATCATGCAAAAAGATTTATCATTTCTAATGCACATCTAATAATCCCACATGAAATAATCAACGAATATCTTTTATTAGAAGGCATCAAAATTTTATCTCAAATAACTTTCTTAAAGTCGGTTTTCACGATAACCTGGCACACATCAGTAGCTTTCGTGACATTGCTAATGTACCTGGATCAATAGTCATAAAATATGACAATACAAACTTTAGAATTTTTTTAACAGATGATACACTGACATGTTATATATGTCACCAAGTCGGCCACATATCACTTTTCTGTAAAAAAAATAAAATCAATAATCACGAAAACGCCAGTAGTATACAATTTCCTACACGTGAAAACGATAATGTATCCTTTAATGCCTTAAGCTGCATCCAAGAAAAAATTACAATACCTGAATAAGTAAACGGCACCCGAGACAACAACACTAACCACAACAGTATTCATGAGACAATTTCCTCCTTCGTAAATGCAAACGCCATCGAGAATAGTACCAACCTAATAAAACCACTCATACCTAAAATTCTAACATGTATCCCAAATGAACCAATCAAAAGACCTCCATCGCCAAGTAGCTCCTCATCATCATCATCTACGCCATACCACATAGAGTAACAGATTAATGATAATCCCGAAAATCCCAAAACATTTATAAAAAAAAATATTAGACTCCAACAAAACAAAAGGTAAACATGAATCTCCAAAAAAAGTAAAAAAAAAGCAGCTCACTTGAAAATATTCACACAAGACTTAATGAAGGACTCAAATTCGCCGAAGATCTTTTTTCAAATAATATTAAAGTTCCTATATCTTTTACTCAATACATATACTTAATGAAGAATTACATTAATAAATCCATCAATATTCTTACTCTGTGCGATAAAGTCAAGATAGACGTCCTCACATTTCAAAAAATTACCGAACAAGTCAGACAGATTTTTAGTCAACAAATACAAAAAGCTATTATGGAAATCCTTCGTCTCCGAAATGAATACCCAGATGGATTCAAAAAAAACCTGGAACAAAATACGTACTTAAAAGAGAATAAGCAGAGATAAAAAAATACTATCTAGTTGAGAATAACTCACTGATATCAGACCCTCAAATAGTTACTAATAAATTTGCTAGATATTTTTATGACAACAGCAGTGACCAAAATTATGATACAGAATTTCTTAGTAAGGAAAAAGCAAAGAAACCTAGTACATTCAACACTTCTCATTAATATCAGAATCTCAAAAGTTATCAAATCCTTGTCAACTCAGAAATATCTCCCTCAGAATGTGAAATGGCATTATTCAAATGTAACAGTAAAAGTCCTGGAGCAGATGGGATACGTTTCTCCTTTTTACATAATTTACCAATGATTGGAAAAACATATCTTCTGCAAATTTTCAATTTAATATGGTACTCCGGTATCATCCCCCTGAGTTGGAAGCACAGTTGTATCATTCCCATTCCCAAAGAAGGAAGAGACAAGTTTAACGCATCCGGATACAGGCCTATTTCCCTACTTAACACAATGTGTAAACTCATGGAAAAAGTAATCAACCTTAGGTTTATGTGGTTCATCAAACAAATTAATTATCTTAGCTTAGATTATCTTAAAAACACAACGAAAAATAAACAAACTCTCGGAATAGTGTGTTTCGACATAGTTAAGGCTTATGATACTGCCTGGAGACCTCCATTATATCGAAACTTCAAAAATTCCTATGTCAAGGAATTATGCTTAAGTTTATCATAAACTTCCTTTTCAATAGAACATTTCAAGTTAAAGTCAACAGTACTACACTCTCTACTCTCTACTCTCTACTAACATTCTCTATGATATTTTATCAACAAAACGAAATCCCACAGGGCGCAACATTGTCGGTTGCACTTTTTCTTATCTCTATCAACGATATTACAAAATCAATATTCAATCTCGTCAAGTGCACACTATATGCTGATGACTTTAATATTTTTTGTCGGAATAATGAACTCTTTACCGTGCAATATTTACTGCAAAATCATTAAATGATCTACACAAATGGTCCCAAAAATCTGGTTTCAATTTTTCGGCATGCAAATCACATTGCATAACATTTACACAGAAAAGAAAAGAAAATAAAAGCAATATCACAATCATCTCTGCTCAAGATACTAAACGCACAATTAAACGTATATCAGCACAATCCTGGCAAAATGTCTGGTCAGTACAAAAAACTAAACTTAATGAAATAAAGCAATCAACCCAACATTGGCCGAATATTCACAAAAACCGAAAAATAGAAACCAGTATCAATAGACTTCGAATAGGGCACACCAGACTTACTCATGGATTCCTGATGGCATGAGAGGAACCCCTGTATGTCCGTTCTGTGATGTCAACCTAACAATCAAACACATCATGACTAAGTGTAACACATACCGCGATGCAAGGGACTGCAATCAACTATCGGAAGACCTATTCAAATGCCTACTACCTAACCTGCCAGTTCCCAACATAATCGCCTTCCTTCAACAAACTGGACTGTTCAAACTAACCTAAGTCTTATATTCACTATATAATATACTAAACCTATAATTGTAATATAATCTACATATTAATACATAACATGTTGTAATATTTATATTACCCAATGGCCCAAAAGCCAAAGGTTTCTTTATAACAATAAAAAATAATAATAATAATATTAATAATTTTAATAAATCGAGTAATAATAATTATGATTTCAATGAAGATAATTATAACGAAAGGTATAATAATAATAATCAAAGATTTCATAGTAGTAACAATTTTAATAATAATAAACATTTTAACACCCGCCAAATATTTAAAGATATATAATTTATAATATATAATATATATAATTATACAAACCAAAAATTTTAAGGTAATAATAATAATAATTACGACAGATATAAGAATAATAATAATTATGATAATTCGGTTCAAAATAGACCAAATAATAAAAATAATTACAATCGTGATTTTAATCCAAGAAGTTCTCAAGGAATACCGATATTATTTGTTATAAGTATGGCACAGCGGGTCATATGAGTGTGACTTGTAATTCACAAAAAAAACTTATAAAGGAGGAACACGTTACTAGGAGTGTTCCTAATATAATTAAAATATCTAGTTATGAACCAATTAATTTAAATACAATCGATAATAATAATATCAAAAACAATAAAGTTACACCATCACCAAATATGAATAAATTAAAAAATAGTTAAATTCAAATATCAGGAAAATTAAATAATAAAGAAGTTCAACTTGTGGTAGATACTGGCGCGGATGTAACAGTACTAAATAATAATTATTTTCTATTAGATAAAATAATACCAATTAAAAATCATTTAAACATAGGAACTGCTAATAACGATAAATTAAAAATAATAGGAAAATCGTTAGTCGATATAAAAATCGGGAATATCGAAATAAAACACGAATGTATAATAGTTGAAAAGTTGTGTTTGCCAATATTAGTGGGAATGGATTTATTAAAGATATTAAAGCCATAATACATTTAGACAGTAAAAGTATAACATATAAACAAAAAAAATCAATGAGAATCACCGATCACGTTACACTACGTATTTAATTTCGACATATAATATATATGAAATTTATTTACAAAATTATTATATTCGAAATAACATATGTAATTAATCTTACACGTTGTGGATTTCAATTAGTCATAGTAATTATTATTAGTATTTCATAAATTATAATGATTAAATTGTGTGTACCTCTATTCCATTTCCATACATTAGTTGTTGGGTACACTATATAATCAAAAACTGTAGCAGCTATAGTGAGAGATAACAATGTAGCAATGAGTAATCTGAAAAAAAAAGTGTTAATAATTATTTTCCAATATTTAGGTTGTTAGACATAGTTCAGTATTTTGAACTTTCTTAGTGGGTTATATATTTGGATTATACTATTTGGATTATATAAGTTGTAAATTTAGACTAGGCGTACAGTGACGAAATACTTCGACTAGTCCAATGACCTAGAAATACAAACCTTGAAACCAGTTACATATTATCTGCTTACTTTTTACTTGTAATATCTACACATAATATATTTCTGAATGATTCAAAGATATATACTAGTTTAGCACACACGCATACAAACACACACACACACTTACAAAAATAATTTCAAATATTATAAAAATTTAAAAAAATACTCATTTGATTTTAGGTATCTATTTCGTGTTGGTCTTATGGTAAACATACGTAAAAGTATTTCAAATAACAAATCAGCATATGAGAAATACGTTAATTATCTATTATAATCTCTTGAATACGTATTGAATTTAAGAAACTGTTGAGACCGTATACTGGGAATCGTTGTTTAGTATGAAGTCTGTGACATAAATTATAGTTGAATTAGGTCAGGGATCATTACAGTCGATAAGAATACGAACAAATGTATTTATCATAATACAGTTAATCCATAACTGAACAATTAGATCTCTTTACAAGAAAATAGAAGATGTGAATTTTGATGAGGGTCAGGGTGTTTAGATATTCTGGTCATTGAGAGTATTGCTGTTCCTGGATATCCTTGATGTTTTATTGTAAATACTTCATAATCGCTGTTGGAAATGTTTTATATACCATACAATTTGTCAAAGCTAAGTACAAGTTAACTAGTATACCAATGGATAATTAGTTTAAAACGTCTCATTTATTTCAGCTATTAAAATATTGTTCAAAATAAATAAATAAAAACACAGTATAATATCATAAAATAAATATGATAACTTCTTATTTTGTATTTTATAAATTCAATTTTTTTTTCAACGATTGATAACTTTAACGTTTTAGATACGATTATTAAGTTGACATTAATGTTACGTAAAATATATAAATACTTCACGTGAATGATTTCGTAATAGATAACTTATAAATAACATAATGAATAATAGTTATAATTTAATCAAATCAATGTAAATACAATTATAAATAACAAAGAACCTAAACCAAAACATAAGTCAATAGTTAATTTCATACAAAAGTCACGGTGACGAAAAGTGTCATACGTAACAAGCGTATTTGTATTAAATAATATTTGACGTACATATATGCTTATTTGGATAAGTTGACTTTTATTCAATTACAACTTTAAGTTTCGTTGATTAATAAACATTTTAAATTCAAAATTTAAAGATTTTACTTTAGATAATATGTGATATGAATTATAACTGTATACCGTTGTGCACAATGGAAGGTTCAAAAGCAGCTGCTACCCTGATTTTTTTGTGGTTGGGTGAACCCTTGGCTCCAAAATATTTATATCATAATTCCTAACCCAAATCCTGAGAAAAAGTAAGAAGTTAGATCGATTAAAAACGACATTGAAGTGAATAAATGTTTTTCGTTATAAATGTTTGTCAAAGTTGTTATGATTGGTAATTAGTATTTTAGTCATCATTTGATATATAATGAAAATCAATACATACAAGTTATATTTAATAATTTTTTAATGTATTTGTACATTTAATTCCATTTTTTTTTTAAAATAATTTCCTGAACAATTTTTTCCATTATTGTTTTTATTATTTACAACAAATAATAAATAATCAGCATTTCATGATTACATACTCGTATACAATATTAATATACAATATAACACATATGCGTATGTATCAGTATCACTCGTTTTATGTTTATTTTATAATTATATCAAAATTATTGTAGGAACAAAAAATAGTCACTATACCAATAGACGTGTGAGGTAAAATGCTACAAGGCTGTTAATGATATTTACGGAACATCAAAATTGATTCCAAAATATTGAAAAATATTTTTTGAATATCATCTTATAACTTTTGTGAAATATAAATTGGTTCATACATTTTATTGAAATACAGTGCTTTCAGATGACTAAAAATAATTATTGTATTATAAATAGAATTTCAAATAATGGAAATAACACTATGGTTCGTTTTTAACACATTCAATAACTTTAATCCCTTATATAATTATTCGATTGGTACAAGTTATACATTTCATTATTTGGTAGGCATTATATAGGATAACATATATATATATATATATATATATATTAGTAGATTCCTGCGAACCCAAACATATTTTTTTATATTTTGCTTTTAAAACCTTTGCAGTATGCATAAACATAAATATGTCTAAAATGTACATCAAATAAAAACTATATCTCTCTTAGTCAATAATTCTTCTTGGGTACTGTTGAACTATGAGGGGCTTATAGATTTTTAATAAGTCAGAAAATTGTATTGATTCCTTGTGATTCAGTCATGACAATATTACAATTCTTAAGATTATCTAAAGTTAAAATGTAAAAAGTTAAAAAATAAATAAAAATTAAACTGAAAATAGACGTACGCCCTACGAACATGTTAATTAAAATAAATTTTGCTTATTATACAGAAAATAAGGTCTAAGTCTTCCTGTGGCCATAAGAAATTATTCTAACTCATTTTAATTTTGAATAATAAATACACGAACGAGTATAGAGCACATGTTTACATGATATTTGACAGATAATTATAAACACTTTATTTGATGTAATATCCACATCATGGTCATAAATAATGGGTACTTAATTTTTTTAAATTTTTTAAAATAAAGAATTTTGGACAATGTAAAATTGCCGTGATACTCGTTTTAAACCGGAAGAAAATACAAACTACAAATTATTATAAAATCTAATAAAATTTGAGAGTAAAATATATAATTATGTATGCATAATTTAAAAAGATCTCGTTTATAGGAGGAAATCTATTTTACCATTTAATTAAATCTTGTATTATATGCGCATAACATTGAACGAACCTAGGAGTGCAAAATTTCTGTAAACACAATGTGTCCTAAGGAAATTATAGAGCCTAGAGTAACTTTAATCAAATCACGTGATAATATATAATATTATGTAAATACCAACCTAACTAAGAGCTCACTTTACTTTTGCTTAACATACCGTCTTTGTTTGGACATTTAACTAATTAAAAATATTTTATAATAAATAAACTAAAACAGGAATAAATAAATAGTCAAAATCAATTAAGATTAATTTAAAGAATTTTTCGTAATATACAGATTAAATCATATTATTTTTTTAACATTTTCTAAGCGATTATAAAATGTTGTTTTTTTTTCTGCAACTAGTAAAAAAAACAATTCTCAAAAACAAATAGGGTTTTTCAACACCAATCAAATAAATTTAATTTTGTTTTCTTTCAGTCTGATAATATTTATTTACTTATCTTTATTATTTTTATTTTGAATACATTTGTTGTGATTGTCAGTTGACCTTAAGAGTTTTTGTGAAGCACTTGTTAAATATAATCAACATTTAATATGTCATAAGCTATAGTCGTAACTTGCAAGTGAAAAAAGGCTATTTTCACCTAACCTAACGTCACCTAACTTTAACCTGTTTTTGTCTAATTTGATTTAAAACATATTAAGACGTAATAAATTATTAAAATAACTAAATAATTTGGGCTACATAAGAATATGAATATTAATTGCGTTAAACGACAACATTACTTTGAAAATATTTTTAAGTAATTTAATTACGTAACAAAATGTTGAAAAATATCATTCAAATTATTAACTAATTATTAAACTGAGATTTATCGAATAATGATTATTGGTAAATTAAAAATCGATTTTAAAATTATTTTATATATATATATATATATATATGCTCACAAAAGCTAATATTATTATTAACATTTGACAATAATATTTTGAGAATTAGCTAAGAAAATCTTTCCCAAAATACATCAAATAATAAATCAATAATAATAGATGTAAAAATGTTAGTGATTTATTAAGTAACTACGAATAATTTAGGGATAAAATTAAAACGTATATTATATAATTATTGTTCTATAAATAAATGACTTTATTATTTTATACACTGGCAACTTTAAACAATTTTTATCACAATAAATTGTTTCATAATTCAAATCTTAGCTTAATAAAATGTTATTTTTAATGAAAAACTATATGAATGTATTATGAAATTCCCATTGTTATAATACGTAACTGTTACATTATCAACCAAGTCCATTTGTATTGACAAATGGTACACTTGTTTGATTCGTATACAAATTTCATATAATGACCTGTTAATTGATAAAGCTATATAAGGATGTATGCAGTAAAAACTCAAGTAATAAATTGGCCAACTGCAGTTATCATTTACGTATTGTCACTAAAAATTATTCAAAATTATTATTTTGTTAAAAAGAGAAAATTAATATAAATTGAAAATATTTGTATTGACTAACACATTTTTTCAACTTTGATTTTTTTGTTATTTTATATTAACATTATCTGTTTTACTCTTTTCTCATTAATTTTACATGAATACATAACACGCAAAGATAATTTTCAGATATAATTGTATATTTTCTGAAAGTAATAGAAAATCTTCTTTAAATTAAAGTAAAGTAAACCATGTGTTTATTTTCTTATAATTTTTTGCGTAATAGTAATAGAAACTTACATAAATGCTATGTCATATGTAGTATATGCATCGCCTGGACGCTGCGCTTGAGTACACATATTATCATAAACTGACACATTTTCAATAACGTCCAGCCTATTCTCTTTGATATAGGATCTTAGATAAGATTGAACATCCATCGCTGAACATGATGCAGGTACGCACAATGCCCATTTAATCTTATCCAAACGCTGCTTGAACCTTGCCCCACCATACTAAAAATAAATTTGAAGTTGGACTTCATTAATATATTCTTAGATATTTACATTTATTGAGCATAACTTATCCTTCATTACTAATTATTTATTTCAGTTTTAAATAAAACCATTTTTAGTTTAAAATTAATTTTTTTATGTGAAATACTGATAAAAATTGTTATGATTATAAATATCTATATGATAATTTTAGAAACTATTAAAATGTTTAAATATTTTAATTTGTCGGTGGTTAGTTCAATTTCTTTTTTAATATGAAAAGTACTTTGTTTAAATAATAAATATCTGATGAACTACAATATATATTTTTGGACATATTTAAAAGATATTAAATCATATTAGGTACGTATTAAATAATTCTCCAGTATTATGTTCAATATAATCTGTGCTTATAGTAAAATTATTTGTATGTCATTTATTTAATACAACTGATCTATACGTATGTAATGTTTATTGTTAAGTATTATAAACCGGAATAATAATACCGAGGACGATTGAAGGTTGAGGTGAGGGACATCAGTAATATATTTATAAAAATTGGTATAAATAAATAAAATAATAAACAATAATAATAATAATAATAAAATAAATTGGATTTATATAAAAGGATATTCAAGGATTAAAATGTATTTATTTTAAGTATCGAATAACCATAAAAATAATAAAATATTTTTATGATAATTTTTTAGAATTTATATATGCACTTATCTCAAAATATATCGCAACAACTTACAAAATATAAAATTGCATTAACTTCTCAAGGAAATAAAATATTCGTATTGAACTGGTAATTTTTTTAGATATTTAGTATTAGTAGATGTAATATTATTACGTTTACTGATACTAAATATCTATACTAAGTATTAAACTAAAAAATAATAACTATCGCTTTTAAAGATGAACACACTCCAATGTTATTAATGCAATAGCAATAATTGCTAATCGAGTATTTTTTTTATATTAAACACTATAGAAAAATCATAGTATTTTTATGACACACTTATAAGTATCATACTCGTTTTAATTCTAAAAAATTGTTGAACAAAATAAATGAAATGAAATTGTTATTTCCGTGCAATTCAAAATTAATTATTATAGAATACAAACGGAGTCAGCTTTTTTTTATACACAAGCAATTTTATCCATATGGCTTATAGACAATCATTTAGAATACATTGACCGCTATAACCACAAAACCAACTAAATGTCGGCAAGTTGTAGAGGTAAGGTTTACAGATTACTTGGTAAATAAAAGTTTTACTCACATAAATTTTGTGCCAAGCCGGTAACAATGGATCGTATTCTCTAGCGAATGGGTCAACGTAGGAATATTGAGACGGCACATCGAGTTTAATGTCAACAAGACAATATTGGGCTTTAATCGGTTTAGCAACCTGTAGGCACTCGTCAAAGTCACCTAGCTGATATCTATTTCCGGACAATAAACCCACTGCTTGTTTTGCTGATGCATCCCACACTAGAACATAATTTTGTGGTAGTTATTTTAAAATTCAATAAAATAAATTGTATACTTAAAAGTTATGAAATTCATGATATATTTGACATAGTAAGCTGCAATAATATGTTTAGCTACTTTGTGCTCAAACATTTATATACGTGTATAACTAGATATTGAATCAAAAATACATTTTGTATCATACAATTATTTTTCTTATATTATTGTACAAGATAAAGCTGAACTTCATTATATCAACGTTAACCATAATCTGGATATTAGTATTGAAAAAAAGTGTTGTTTGAAGTATGAAAAAAAAGTTGCTTGAATAATTAATATTATGTACCTTTATTTTTATTACAATAACAAAGATATCCAATTAAAATGGAAATATTGATTTGCAGTATGTATAGAAAATCTATAGTATAGTCTAATTATAAGTTCAAAAAAATTTAATTGAAAAGTTTTATGTTAGTTTTATCTAGGATTTTAAACTAGATTTCTTTTTCGAATATTTTTATAATTTGAAGATGTTTGCAAATTAATATGAATCACTCAAAACTATAAACATAAAAATTATTTGATCAAATATTAACATGTTATAGAAACACGAAAGTTTTAACTAGGTCAGAATTGTCTAAGACATTTTAAAAAAAAAGTACAAACGTTCTAAACATTCGAACCCTAATGATAATCTTATAGAATTTTAATGATTGATCGTAGGGTTTGAACTTATAAATAACTAATACGTAATTTTGTAGACAAAGCGTGTATGAATATCTCAGTACTTTAATATTTTAAAAGAAGCAAACAAGTAAATTGCAATTCCATTTTTACACATAAGTATTCCACAGTACTTCGGTTATGATTACAAAATATAGCGAATGCCGTAATTTATTAAAAATAGTAAAATATTAGGGTTTCGTAAAATGTATTTAAATGAATATAATACATTGATATAAATGTTAGGCCAACAAGGATATCTGTTTCAAACATATTCAACGGGGTTATTGTATAAATAACAGTTTACAATTAAAGGTATATCAAGTAATAATTAGGTTAAACAAATTGTAATCGTATTTCACTTTTGAACAGCATCCTACGCAATGAATTTAAATTGCACTTATGTAGGTACCCTACATCTTATTGTATTAAATTTTCATTTGTGGTTGGAGTGGTTGAACCAAAATATAAGCCAAAAAATATTTGTATACTTTGCACTTTATTTTATTATATGACTTGTTAAGGTATTTTTTTAAACGAGAATTTGATGACCAAAAATACCGAAAATGCCAAAAAAAATAATTTAAGTTATATACAATTTTTTAATAATAAATAGTCCAGTAAGTAATAGAAAGTGTATTCAATTAAATCAATTATGTGTACTTTTTTAATAAATAAATATAGGCTAAAGTTATATAAATTATTAAAGAAAAATGATATGGTAGAGTTATCTTTTTTTATACAGGGATATGTCACATTTTACATGAATGATTACAAAATATAACCAATAATAAAATAATATTTATTATACATATCGCATCTGCATAAAACGAAATAGGTTTTCGTAAATAAAATAAGCATTTATTTTCTGACATTTTCCATGCACAACTAGGAAAGTTGACTTTGAATTTTTTAGGATTACTTTGATTAATTTGATTAATTGGGCAGATATTCCAACAAAAAAAAAAAAAAAAACAATCCTACAACTTTAGTTTAATATCTGAATATAATATAAAATAATAAACATAAATCGAACGCACAAAATGTGAGCTAATTCACAATTTGTTTTTATCCTGACTACATGGAAAAAACAAAAAACAGATAATTTCACTTGTATCGGGACTATAATAAACTTGTTTGATAAGCGGAAAACATTCAGTTTTGTTTTTTATTTCACATTATAAACAAACATATTTTATTATTAATGTATGTAAATAGCAAGGTTAATAGAACAGCTTTAAGAAAACAGTTAGATACACACCACCAAACTATTTGATGAACGACCAACGTTGCCAACTGTGCAATAATTATGGTACATAATTTGGGCCATTTGTACGATATACAATACATAATATATTACAGAAAATACTAATATTTTACTAATGTACAAAAAAACCCATAATTTTCATCAGTTTTTTTTTCTACCTTCTTCTCACCAATTTCATGACGCTAAGAAATGTGTTTTACATTATTTATTTAAAACTTAAAAGTGTTAATGCTTAACAACCTTTTCTAATTATTATAATTATTGATATTGTTTACTAGTCGTTAATTTGAACATTATAATTATGCCTTCGAAATTCGAATGTTTAACGCCATAAAGCCTATTGCGAATGCATATGGTACGCCACAACGCTAAATTTTCGTATGGTCCTCCGTTCAAAAGATATTGAACAAAGGGAGTGAAATAATCGCGGTTATTATTACCGTGGTACCCCATTTCATAACCCATAATTTATATGATATTTTCATCAGTAGTTTGTGGTTTATTACCATAATTCTAAATAACGGGTTAAAAAGTCATTTTCAAATGACATTTTAAATTTTTTATAAGCTATATTTATAAACTAGTTAATTTTTACAGTTTATTCCAGAAAATTAATAAATATTGTATCATATACAAGTACAGCATAATTGTTTTTTCTTTATTCTCTCCTACGAATATAAAGCCCTAGAATGATTAGTTAATCTTTGATCGTTGCGTGTTATTATATGCAATTTCTAGATTAAGATCAGTGTATCTATCTAAACTTATAAGTGTATTGTAATTTAAACTAGACATTTGATAAATCTATCAATAATCATTAATTGTATGACTAAGGAATCTCGACCCAATAGAAATAAGCGTTTTCACATAAATTATAAACTAATATTTTATAAATTTTAAATTATGTACATGAAGCAAGGGATGTATTGGTCTTATTATGCATTTATTTTTATTTTTTTTCTATATTCAAACACTTTGGGATAGTAAATTTATAATAAAAATATTTAGATCAGAATATGGATACAAATGGTACATTTTCGATTTTTCAGAAATGTCCTCAAGTATTAAATAAAAACAAACCAGAACTTGGAAGTAATAATGCATTTTATCCTAAAACATCACTGCTTTTACATCCTTTGACAAAATTAATTGTTAAGTATTTCATAACTTGAAAATAATTATCTGATTGAATTTAACCTATTTACCTAGTGTTAGAATATCAGAAGTATTTTAGAATATTAAATTAGCACCAACAATTGCATACAGTTTAAGCTTACACTTTGGATATAAATAGTTCTTGAAATAGATTATTTTGGATTTTTATAGTAGCTTGTTTATATAAAATGAAAATATTGAGTAAACTTTTGAAAACTGTTTTGAATATCTGCTAAAAAGTGTTTCTATTTAACTATAAACATTTATGAAACAAATTATTTTGAGTCTTATAAATAAGATTGTAACCCTGTTTCGAAACACGATGTACACGGAAAAAATTTGAAACCGATATGAATCGTAAACCGTAACTCGACAAAAATGTGAACTTGGTTTTTACCCAAAACCAAAATCTGGAGAAAAATTTAATTTAAAATGTTAAACTATTAACTAATTTTATACAAATAAATAAGAACATAAAGCATTTATCTTTACTTCATTTTCAGAAAATAGAAATTGGAAATTAAATGTGTATTTACAATTTCTACCCATTTATGTTGACGATGTCGATAGACAATAATACTACGGTAATAAAACGGCCAATTAATAATTAAATAATCTACGCGTAAATCTTTTTTCGACCATTTTAAAAAACGTATAATATTAATAAAATTTAATACATAAATGAAAATTTAAATATTACACTGTATAACTTAATTCTTCTTAGATATATTATATTTTGTAGTGTATCTTATTATTATTTATATTTCATCTGTACGTATTTTACATTGCCTTAAATTCCTATAACTATTTGGCTATTGCACAAATAATTTCACTCACAATATACTTTAAAATAATGGACCTAGTAGCATGTAACCGCATATGGATAACTTTAATTGTTTTTGGTTTTTTATTCAATTATCAAATTATCAATTATTGTTATGGAAAGCTAACTTAAATAAAAAGGGAAAAGAAAAATACCAAAGTTGACTAAAATTTTTTTTTTAAATTATATAACAAAGTTTAATAACTCACAAATTATATACATTTTAACTATAGAAAAAAAAAATGTTTGTAAAACTTACTTTGTTGAGCCCACAGTGTCATATTTTTCAGACCCAAATGTAAATTTAAACTATCTTCTTGACATTTTAAATTTTCAGATTTTATCATTGTATTTGGTAATGTTGGTAATATATTTATAGGATCTGCCAATGATGCATTGACACTAACCAAAAATAATGATAACAACGCCAATCGGGACACCATCTCACTGGTCAACAGTTTAAGTTGCTGAAACAAAATATTTGCATATAATTTAACAATTGAAAAACATTATTAAAAATATTCATTAGTCACTAGTTCTAACTATTTTTTACTAGTTATTACCTAAGTATTAATCATGTATTAATCGCATTAATGTAAATAAATATATTACGTACTAAAATTGAGTTTTGTTTAACTATTTACTTTAGGATTTCATCATTGAAAATTATAAATACTTAAAGTACACTTTCTCCGCAGAACAAATATTACGTGTAGTTTAAATTGCGTGCGGATGTAAATAATAGTTTATAATCTATTCAAATCTCCATTTAACTATGAATAAATAGTAAAGTATTTACTTATTCGTATAGAATATTATATGAAATATTAACAGCAAACTTGTTTATTTAAAGATAGAAAAAAATGAATTTTAAATAAGTGGTTATACTCGTGTATAAGTATGGAGAAAAGTTCAATTTTAAAAACGATTAATATCATTATTTTTCATTACACATTAACATTAGGTATCATTTTTGCTGAGACTATTCCGTAAAAAAATATTTTATCTTTTAACTTATAATTGTTATAAAATGTTAGAAAAGATAATTAACACTTTGTGTTTATCGTAAAACATTAATGTACTTCGTTAAAAAGATGATTAAATAAACTGTGAATTTGGATATATTGGATACTGAGAACAATTAAATTAAATTGTGTTACTTTACTTAACTACTAAGTATAATATAGGTTAGATTAGGTAATATAGATACAAATTTTAATTTATTAAATTTTTCACAATGCCCTTACATTTTAATAACTACAATTAATATTTAATATTAATATTCTTTTCTGATTGCAATGCTTAAATTTATTTCAAAATATACCATCATTAATTTTAAGAATCGTTTAATTTATGGAATTATGTATAGTTTTTCCAAAATAATAAATGGTTTTTTTTAAATTCACGTATCCCATTTATATATAACCGTATTACGTACTCGTCCTATGCGTTTACAGTGTTCCACAAAAATACTATGAATGATATTTTGTAATATTTATGCATACATGTGAGTGAAAATATAAAAAACTGTTATAAATATATAACAATTAATATAAATATAAATATTAATATTTCACGTCAATTTTTTAAAAATTATAATAAGCAATCGTGTTGCGCAAGAACAGCAAATGCGATAATTTTCTCATAATAATAATTTTGAAAGTATAAAATATTAAATCAATGTTTTAACAACATTGTAGTAATTTAAAGAGCAGAGTAGAGAGAATAGTACAATGCAATTGACCCGGTATAAAAATTTGTCTTTACTTTGCATTTATTGTTCGTTCAAAATCTAATGTAATGAATGAGACGGATATTAAAAAAAAAAATAATAAATTAAAATAATTTTAGTATGACAGTAAATAAAATTTGATTATTTAAAAAACATAGTTTTGATATTTTATAATTAACCACTACAATAATTATAATAAATGATTTATATAATATTGATAAAGATATACAAAGAAAACCAATGACCACTAAACATTGAAATAAATAAATGTTTGCATTATTTTTTCTAAGATTCACTATTACCTAAAATATAACGAATATAATAATAATGTCTATATAAATTCATCAGTATATCATTAGCAGAATAAATAATGTATACACAATTTGTTCCTTAGCGAGACAACTACGATAAACTGTAATCAAATATCACAAAAATGGAAAAGTAAGTATTAAGAATTCATTGGACTCCATTGAATTCATTAATTAGTATGCAATTTACCGTTGTATTCTAAAACGGTTACGCCACTATTAACATTAAGTAGCCACTACAAGTATTGGTATTGACAGATGGTACCAAAGCCGTATCTAGGAGGGGGGTCCAGGGTGTCTGAATCCCTCCCCCCTGAAATTTCTTCAATATTTTACGAATGTTTAAAATACTTATTTACCAATTAATTTTTTATTTTTACCAATTAATCATTGACTGCTTTTAATTTTTATCATAATATCATATGAAAATATGATATTAATTTTAATAAAAGAAGATTAAATATTTTTCTGTCTTATTTTTAACCAAATATCAAAATTTAAAATCTAAATTCAATAAAATTACAATATACATGTTTTGGACCCCTCCTGAAAAAAATTTCTAGATACGGCCTTGAACGTATTGAAAGTCAATAAAAACGAACAGCAACTACTGTTGACTTTATAATAACAGTACAATCCTATTTATGGAAATATCATGTTTTTCTCTAAATACATTATAATAAGGTGATCAACATTTTTATCCACAAGCTTAAATGATTAAGTTTTTTCAGTCAGTTTTTTCCTTGGGTATTTTATACATGTAAGATTACATCTATTTTATGGACGAAATGCATGTACATAATATTTTCATTACATTTGAAGGAAATCAATGTTTTAATGTTATACTTCAAACTCGGAGCGAAAACGAATATCTATTGATAATAGAGTAGTTTTTTTCTGTTCTGTTTATGAACAAACCTAAAGTATATAATCATATCTTTCAACATCCCAGCCAATATTTCCAATATAAGCTAAGAAACTAAGTTAATCTCTTAACGACCAAAACGTTAAAAATTTCTAAATTTTTCTAAATTAACGTTAGAATTTTAAGTGAGATAATTTCGGTTACCACGAGATCCTAAAATAATTATCAGTTAGGAAAAATGAAGCCAAAACATTTATCGACGAGCGTAATTATAAATTATTTAATATAATTTTATATTTTTTATTGTATTGTAATTTGTAACTATTAAAATTCGATACTATTTGCGACTTTTCACTGAGAAAATTCTCTATACGTGATGTAGCTAAATATACGAATAGGTATTTTTAATATTGAACTTTTGATCGTTTTCATTAGGTAAGCGTTAAGATGAATACATATAAAGATAATGTTAAAGAGAAAGTCTCTTACATGTCACCAACGACGGGTTAGTTTATTTTAAATGAATATTAGCATAATATCCTTTTAACCATTTTTTTAATATAACATCTTAATTATAAACAAAGATTTTTAATAAATCATTAATGAAAACAGAAATAAATTTTGCATTTCAAACAGGTATAAAATCCTAATGAGGTTTGAAATTCTATACACAAAAGCTAAGATAATAACATAGGTTTTGGGTTTAAGCAAATAAAAAAAAAAAAATTGCATTTTAAACAGACATAAAATTCTTTTAATTAAATTTGAAATTCTATACACAATAACAAAGACAATGTCATAGGTTTTGGGTTTTAACCATATAACTCATGATATGTAATATGTAACAACCAAGCTTGAAGAAATCGTTAATTATTAGTTGTCAAAATTATAAATACATCTTAACGGTTACAATTTTTTTTACTGAACATAATATAAATGGAATTGTTAAATAAATATTTTTTATTACTTTAGAATTTTACAATTAAGTTGCATTACCTTTAAAACAAATGTTTGTATCAAAACAATATTATTTATATTTAGATTAGTTTTTAATTTTAAATTCTCTATTTTACTCTGACTCGCAATTTTAATACAACGTAGTTACTTATAATTTAGACATCATATATTCATGACTTCGACCGTCACTTAATATTAAAATGTTTTCTCAAAAACTATCTGAGTAAACAATTTTTAAATATTCATGTGTACAATCACTTTAATTCCATAAGAATATGAAAAATCTATAGCCATTTTCAAATATGTATTTATGATTTAAGCACAAAAAAATGGTATAACTGAGGTGAAACGAATAATGGTACTGGTACTAAAGTCAAACATCTCGTTGTTGCTGTACGAGTATAATCATGAATTTCTTTGATTCTTATAAAACTCGTTTTTGGTAATAATTTCAAATCTTAATATTTATAAAACAAATGCTTTACAAAAACTTTTGAATAATTGTATATTATATTCGATGCATTTTATTGGAACTATTTTCTTTTATTTGATATTTATTTTAATTTACAGTAGCATATATTAGGACATAATTCATAAATATATTTATTTTGAACTATATTATCGTATACAATATTGTTTGTTTAGGTACTAATAAATGTAATTATTTAAAATAGAATAAAATTAATATTTTTTGTATAATCATGCAAATTTGATTAAATAATGTAATTAAATAATGCCCCCCCCCCCCATGATATTATATTTATATTACGACTTTTTGGTGAAATTCATGAGTACAATTTTTTGTTATTTAACTAAATGTATCATTATTTTTGTGTCCACAATATCACGTTATTTTATTAACAGTATTAAAATACGTTGAAAGTAATTTGTTTATTATGTACGATAAACTATTTAAAGTGTATATGTATAGCTTTGTATTTATTTACTACTTGTATTTTGTTTTATTGCTAATACACTTTTAATGTCATTAAAATAATAAAATATAACTGTAAAATATAGTAAAAATAAGTAACAAGTAAAAATATCCCATGAAAATTCTTTGACCATTTTTTAAAAATAAATTAATAATATCAGTAATACTAGTAATATCTCATTGAAATACAATTACAATAACAATTAAAAATAAGTTATTGTCTTATCACAAAATCTGTGGATCATAAATATTAAAATAATTGCAAATAATTGTTACTAAATGCATCTTTTGCATTTACGTTGGATTAATTATCTTAATTTTTGATTTAATAGTTCAAAAAGTAGTTTATATATAATTATGGCTTAGAAGCTATTTTGGTCGACTTTAAAAACCAAATTTATTGTTTTATTTGAAATTAATTTAATTACTTATAATTTTAAAATGAACGAACATAACATTTTCATATTATGATGTATTATTATAATCAAAATGGTAGTATTTAATGAATATAATAACGTAATTTATTTATTTTGAAGTATATAAATTTTTTGTTGAAGAAAATTACGAATATCGAATTAAATAAAGCATTTTAATTAAACACTTAATTTTTATCATAATCTTTAATTTCATGATTGACAATGTTTAATATTTACATTATTGCACATATAAAACTTACTTGAGATTTTTTTTCCCAATTCGCCATGTTTCATTAGTCTTAAATCCTACAGCTCCGATCTAACTGCTCAACCAACTGAACTGCGATTAAACGAAACTGGTTTTAGCAGGATAATCAAGACCAAGTTCAATACCCCCACCTTATCCATTGAACATACTGATTTCCGTCTTTGTGTTTCTCTTTAAAAGAATCATGATAAAGTTCGTTTTCTTTACAAATATTTCGATATTTCAAAATAATTAAATGGTGTTCTTACACCTAATTATTGTGTTTTAATTACTAAAAATAGACACTATTTTTTGATGCAAGGTTTTAATAAAAAAAACTTAATTGGTTATATTTTTCGATTAATTGAATAAAGTTATGTTAACGCAAGATTTCTCAATATGCACAAAATTAAAGCAAAAAATAATTTTGGACAATATCCCAATTATTTTTGTGATTATATTTTGAATAAAATACAATTATTTATAATTTCTAAGATACAAGAAAATAAATAGTGTCTTCAATATTTATAACTTATAAATTATAAGATATAAAACAACAAAACCTATCGATATTTATAATTTTTTTAATGAATAAAACAATATTACTCTTCTATTATATTTAACGAAAGAAAAATGTTTAAAGTTTATTATTAAATTATTCCCGGTTAGTCAAAACCTTTTTTCTTATTAGCCATTTACCTTTTGTTAGAAGTAATTAATCATAACCAACAACTTTTTCGAGGGAAAAAATGTAAATTTATAATCACTAATCACATTACAGTATTTTAAATTATTTCTTTTTATAAAGTTTATATTAAATTTTAGACACGATGACATGATGTTGAAACAAATATATCCTTTTTTCAGTGATATCAATTAAACATAAAATTACTTTTTTTTAATACTAAAATAATTTTACGCCAATAAATCATTTTTCTTAGTTGTTAATAACTTAATAAATGTTTGAAGTATATGCATGCATTACAAAAATTACGCTAAGGTTGAAAAAATATCAATGAACAATTACAGAAAATTAAATTAAATTATATTTTATTATGTTTTGATAATTTATTAATTTACTACCACCTTCGTTTTATGGAAGTCCAAGAATTTTACAGAATTTCGCAGTAAATAAATATACATTTAAGCAAATAGAAGACTTTAAATACTTGGGGGATCACTTTTAATAATAAGAATGATATGCATTACGAAATAATATTGGGGTTGAATGCGGCAAATCGAGGATATTATGCAATAAGCAAAATATTCAGTTCTAGGCTTCTCTCCAGAGAAACTACGAGGAAGCTATATATTTCCTACTTACAGCACATAGTAATGGATCATTGCGAAACGTGTTCATCAATTAAAGGGAACGAGACAAAGCTACTAACATTTGGAAGGAAGGGTCTTAGAAAAATAAATAGTCCTATGTATAATACAGAAACAAAGCAGTATGAAAGTAAAACTAATAAAGATATTGAAAGAATCTATAATGTGTTAAATATCCGAAAATATCTCGTCCCAAAAAAAACTGGAATGGGCCGGACACATATGGCGACATATGGACAGTCTAATGAGACAACTTTTGGCATATAAACTAAATAAAACACGCTCCAGAAGAAGACCATGTCAGCATTGGTTAGATCGGATAAAGAAAGATTTAGTTCAAGTAAATAAAACTGCAAGAATTAAGGACCAATGAAGGGATTTGGTAGAAGCAGCGAAAGACCGATAGAAGCTAAAAAAAAAAAAAAATAATAGTTTTATAAAACAGTGGTTATTTGTTTAATATTGTTGACGTAATTAAAATAAAAACAAAAATGTCAAATTTACACATGCTATCACAAATATATTTTAAAAAATGAATTAACAATTTTAACTGTTTGAGTACCCAATCATTTTGACCCACTTTCGAGTTTCAAATATATATTTATTTTTTTTTCATATTATTCTTGCAAATATAATGTATAATTCGTAAAACCGTATAATCATATTATTGTAAATACTGCAATGAAAATACAGTTACTAAATACATGTAAGTACCATATATACATAATTCAATTTATACATTAATTATGGATAATGTGTGCGGTAATGGAAAAATCGACCTATCCATGAATTGTTTAGCAATTCGATTACATTTACGGTATTAATATTTATACAATTATCAATCGATTCATGTAAAAAAAAAATTAATGCAAGTACAACACTACAAAATAATTACTTATCCATGAAAAACTTGAGTTAAATAAATTTTATTTGTAAATATTAAAAATATTCTGTGGAACACTGATTGTATTTTATTTTTTCTATTTTGAAAAATAAATAAATATAATATTTTTGAAATATTAAATTTTTATCAATAACAAAAAATTGACTTTAATTTAATTAATAACTAAACCGGAAAAAGTTTTTTTTTTTTTTTTAATTACCTATAATAATATTTATAATATATTGTTATATTTTTACTACTTCAATTATTAATTATGTTTTATATTTTTGCTTTAAATTAGTTCGCTTAAAAAACTTAAAACATGGCTTTCTTACTATGAAGTAATATAACTGAGAACCGTTTGAATGACTTGGCATAAATGAATATTTAAAAAACTTATGTGCAAGCTCAAAAATCAAACATAAAATATGAAACAATCAAATTATTTGCTAATGAGCCTAGGCGCATGCAATTTTTATTTAATGACCAATAATCTTAATATTTTATAAAATTAAATAAATAATTTAATATGAATAATGATTTATAAAAAAAATTTTAGTGCTCTTGATGTCTCATATAATATTTTGATGAAAATATACAGTTAATCATATAATGGTGTCATCAGTTTGTTTACTAAGTTTGTAATAAAATGATAAAATACTAAATCTAATATGTTATGACTATGTATAAATATATAACCCCCCCCCTGTGAAAATGTCTGTGGGCACCCTTGCTAGGAAGTGGATATTTATAGTTCCATAGAACAGAATTAGTACGTCCCATATGTAAAATTAAAATCTACACTAGAAATTACCGGTATTTTTCTATAATTCCAATGGGAAAGTAATAAAATATATATGAGACATACTATGAAACTGTTAGGATCTCTATGCTATAAGACAAATATTCTATTCCAATTATTATTATAAATAGAAAGACTTCTTATTAATAAAAATAAAAATGATTATATAATTAAAATAATAAATGTATAAATAAATAAATGTAACATAAATAAAATTAGATTAGTGACATTTGACGTAAAATATTTACTTTCAAAGGTGGTACTTCCAAAAAATAACATAAAATAAAATGTAAATGATTCATATGATGAATAATTTTAACGATTATTGTACACTAAACGGAAAACATGATGAAACGCAAAATTGTGAACTTCAAAGATAACAAATTGAGTGTGGTATATACCACTCACAGTTAATATAACATAGCTACAACAACTTCAATAACATTAATTTGTCAAAGTTTAAAAGTATTATTTTCCAATAACAGTAGGCAATAAGTTCTTATTCAAATGCTAATAATTATCGAATTATTGAAATACACCGGCTATAGAAAAATTCATTTTCTTATTTTTAAAACGTATAAAAGCGTATAATTTTGGTTCATATAGTCCTATAATGATCAAGTATATAATTAGGACAATAGTCAGTGGACACTTATAACTTAATATTGTAATTACGAACTTCTTACATTTGTATTTAGAACTTCACGTGTTCAGTATACATATTGTATAAATATTACGGATGGTGTTGAAAAAAATTAGGCCGATAGATTTTCGAATCTCTTTTGGTGATCAGTTCCCAGTCCACTTATGTGTCAACAATTATTATTTTCGCACGTCATGACTAGTAAGTTGTCAAATTTAATTTAATTATCATCTGCAATCTCAATTCGGTAAATAAAAGTCATTATTTAATCTATATAATATGTATTATATAATAACATACATATATTACATTATAAATATACATATATACTAAATATACGTATAAACATTATAAACAAGGCCGGATTAAGAGGGGCTCTAGCCGGGGCGGTAGCCATACTAAATTTAGTTGTTTTATAGACATAAATTGTTTATACCTATTAATTTTATAATGCAATTGACAATTTGTGAAATAGTTAAAAAAATGTATCGCTCTGCGAGCTCATTTGTAAAGCATGTTTTGTCAAAAGGGCTCATATAAAATTTCAGCCCCGGAGTCCAATAGGTGCTTAATTCGGCCTACATTATAAATTATAATATGTTTGAAATATTTAAAAGTATGGGCTTATATGCGTGTTTTCTAAAGTTGTTTTGCATTAATTCTAGTGGCGTATCCTTGGGGGGGGGGGGGATTTGGAGATCATAATCCCCCATAAACCTGAGATGGTTGATTAACTTTTACATAAAACATGGTCTTTTCTTTAACATTTTTATATTTTAGAAATGTGACTTGGAAATCATATAAATAGTTTGTAGAAACACTATAAACGTATTATACACACGCTGTACACACACATACACACACACAAGTCATAATATTATGATCATATTTAGATACTTTACTACTACACTACTATACTTTGATAATTTTTGTTTGGGATCATATTATTTAGATTTTCTATAACGGTTGATTCTAAATCGGTCGTCTGGTCCCAATAACTTAGATAAAAGCGATATCATTGTCTGTATTCAAAGTTTATTTTGGGTATATATACCTATTGCTCGCGGCTCGCCAATCATTTAACACAAGCACGTTATTGTGTAAAATTAATAGTTATTAGTTAATAGTTGGTCGTTGCCCGCTGGCGTCTCACTATTTTACTTACTACTCGTTTATTTGTTTATATTTGACATTTGTATTCCATTATATTTGTTTTATTTTAATTTTACATAATTCTAAGACGTCTAAAAATGTCATTATGGTAAGATATTTTTAAAATTTAATTTTTAGTATACCTAAGTAAGTGATTGGACAGAAAATATTCTAATATCTAATATTTATGTTCCTATATTAGTTCCTAGTTCCTAAATTGTTATTATTATTTATTATTATAGGTAAATTCTCTAACAAATAAGCAGACTAGAAAAATTAATTCTTTTTATTTACCCGAGTCAAAAAAACTAATGTCAACCAGACTTAAAATACAGAGTTCAATACTATATAGTCTACTATAATATAATTATATTATATAATATAATGGTAGTAAAAATATAGTGATAAGATTAAATATATATATAGATTTGCTGACCCCCCCCCCATAAAAAGTTCTTGGCTATGCCATTGATTCATTCTATTTTCTTATTTTAATCTTTGTAATAGTTATTTTCATTATTATAATTTTCATGTTCTTATTAATTGTTGAGATATAATAATTTATTGTTAATATATTTTTAATAAATAAAAAAAAACCGTTTGAGGGCATACATTTTATACTTACATAATGATCAAATAAATCGTGTAAATATATAATCATATTATACCTACCTAATATAATAATAAATGTATTTTGAATTAATATCGATACTCGATAAAGTTGTATGATAACACATGTACATAACTATCCACCATTAATTACTTAATTATTATTTATGTAATTAAAAAATATATCTTTTCAAAAACGTATGTTACACAGTTTTTAAAAATACGAGTATAACTGATTGGAAAACAAAATATTTTCTCTGGGTAACATTTGTGATTTTACTAGCTTACTTATTCGGAAAATGTACTGCACGGGTAGCACATTTTACCGTAACTATTCGTAACAAGCTCGCCGACCAGGAAATTAAAAATAAATACTATATTTTATAATGCCTATTTCAAGACATCTTATGTCATCTGATGGAACTCTATGAATTGTGAACAAATTGCCTGAGCGTATTTAGAATTTAAATGCATAATATCATTATTTTAGTTGAAAATATTTATTGGCTTGAAATTCAATTTTTCTTTCGTAATTGTGAACATAATTTATAATAATTATAAATTATGTTCATTAACCAATTATTGGTCATCATTTAGTTTTTAGATTTTTTTACTAAATTAGTTTTATAAAATAATTACTTACACTAGAATAATTAAATTTTCCAAGTTGGTTATGTATAAATAGATATATTGTTTGCATAGTTTCAATAGATTTAAAGATGTGTGATTTAAACGACGAATATAACGAAATAGTAATAAAACAATAATACTTATAACACAAATTACATTTTTATTTTATTTACTTTCTTTATTTTCATTAAAAAACTAGTACAATGTAGTTATTTTTTTACACCTTTAAAATTATTTAAAATGAGTAATAATATAAATGAGGGAAAAATTTGTACTATTTGAAGGAATTCCTTCAGATGAAAATAGTGACACTTCTTGTAACGAATCTGATGATGATAAAGATTACTGTTTGCCATGTTGTCCAATTGCGATTTCCGAATCTTTTTCAGTGACAGGTTACGGAGACAAAAATTTTTTAGATTTGGATAGTAAAAATATTTTTTACTACCTTCACTATTAAAAAAAAAACTCGATACTCAACAAAACAAATAATTATAAATAAAAATGTTGTAATTCTGGACAAAGTTTCGTATCGTAGTCATCGAATTTTTCCGGTATTAAATTCTGAATCAAGTATATTCAGTTACTTTCGTGTAATTCTTCAAACCAACCAGTTCACAACCAATAAAATACAGGTCTGTCTGAACAGAATCATGATCATAAACGATTCGCTGTACAAAACCACGGACGTCATGAAAATTTTTCATTCGCAAGTTAACATAACCTTTGATATTCGATTATTTCAAATTAAAATGGTCCGACCACTGGAATAATCTTTAGTTCTGGCGATGGAGAATCTCATAGTGTCTCAATCTTTGAAGGATATGCTATACTTTTTGCTATCCAATATTTAAATTTTGCTGGCCGTGATCTCACGGATTACATAATGAAAATGTTAACTGAACGTGGTTACAGTTTTACAACTATCGCTGCACGAAACATCGTTGGTGACATTAGAGAAAAATTGTGCTACGTTACTTTGAACTACGAACAAGAAATGTCTACCGCTGTATTATCTTCTACGTTAAAGAAATCCAATAAATTACCTGATGGACAATTCATCACAATTAGAAATAAAAGGTATAAAGTATTTTTTTCCTTATATGTTTATTTCATATATTATTTTCTTAAATATATTTAATAATAATATTAGATTCTATTGCACAAAAGCTCTTTTCAAACCTTTACTCTTAGCAATGGAAGCTTGTGGTATCCATGAAACCATTAACAACTCCATTATGAAGTGTGGTGTAGAATTCCGTAGGCAAATGTCCTCCTATATTGTAATGTCCGGAGATAACATCATATACCCAGGTTTTGCTGCAAGAATGCTACAATAAATTAATGCTTTAACTGCAGATACAATGGAGAGGAAGATAATTTCCAAACCAGAAAGAAAATACTCAATATGCATCGGAGGTTCTATGTTGGCTTCTCTGCTAATCTTCTGACCGATGTGGATATCAAATACCGAGTGCACCGAATCAGGTACATCTATTATACATAGAAAGTGCTTGTAAAAACATTTACTTATACTTATAAATGTTAATAATTATTATTAAAATTGTTTATTGTCATTATAATAATAACCTAACCATAAGTTCTGAACTTAAAGCATTTGCATACTTTTGTTAGTTATTGTAAAATATAGCATAGTACGAAATAAATGAATTTCTAGATGCCATGATACTAATTATTACTAAATTATTACAATTTGTTAATTGATGTAAATATAAATTATAATTTTTAATTTTCCTATCATTATATAATTGACCAATAAAATTAAAAAACTGGCAAGGTATATATTTTAAGAAACAAATAAACAATTATTTTTTTTTTAAATTTGTTATGATATACTAATTATTAATAATAAATAAATTAAATGCATATTTTACGATTTTTAAGTGCATATTTTAGCGCTTATTATTGTGCTTTTAACTGCTATAAGTCTTGAACTTTATTAACTTTATTAATAATGATTACAATTTTATTTTTATTATACTTTCGTAAATAAATGTTATTTTTATTGTATGCGTGTCGTGTAACGTGTATGTAACAAAAAAATGTACTAAATTAATAGTACAAGTTATGGGTGCGGATATATCAGTACGAAGACAAACAAATAATACTATATAGAATTTCCGTATTCAAGCCTGTAGGTTTGGCGTGTTTAACACGTTGACCGCCATGCAGGCGTTGACTGCCAACGGCCGCATAAAAATAATTATGTATCGATAATTTTTAGGCCGCCGGCTGCCGCACTACATCATTCGTAGGTAGCCAAACAGCCGCGGGCTGCCGTTAATTCCCTACATTTTGGAATAATAATAAATATATCGGTGCTGCAGTTTACCTTTTAAATTCAAACTGTGACATGGTGGAAGAAATTTCCATTCTATCGGTATATTGCACACCCATATACGATGTTTTTTATTAATAATTTTTATTACTCTAACTAAACATCAAATTAAAAAATAAATTTTACTTATAACTTCGAAAATATATTTTAATTTTTAATAAAACTTAATTATTAAATACTAAGATCTTTAAAAATCGTATTATATAAAATAAAAAAAATTACAGTACTTTTTGAAACATTATATTTAAAATAAATTTCTATTGTATTTTAAAAATTAAAATATTTATTCTTTTTTTTTTATTAATTAAAACTTAAAATAATTTTAACTTAAATAATGTTTGTTATTTGCTTAATTATTTTTCACTTTTATGATGTTTCATAAAACAATCCACACACGTATACATATCACATTTCTTACACATAGTTGTAATTCTTTTATCAATATAGTCATTAACTTCACTAAAAGAACATGAGTCATCATATACTCGTATGTCATCTAAAAGTTCCTGTAACACTTTTGTCACAGCTTTAAATCGTTTTGATCGAGAACTCATTTTTACAATAAAAAAAAACTTAATAATAGTGGACAATTTAACGTTAGCCCGCCGGCGGCCGCATGGCGTATAATAATACTATGTGTAATGTTAGCGCCACAAGGCCGCCGGCGGCCGTATTATTATAATTTATTAATAATATTCAAAGAAAAATAAACCAATTGATATCGGAATCGTATTTGTGGGTTTATTGATTCTAATTATATTACTCGGTACATTTTACGAATGTTAATATCGACCATAAAATTACTTCCAAAAAAATAAATACAAGACATATCAAATGAAGCTAAATCGCTATTTAATATAACGTTGGATGATATTAATTAGAAGAGTGATTGTGATAGTGACAGTAATTGTTAACGTAGTTTTCATAATTATACTATAATGTGAAATATATATATGTATACATTTTAAAATCTAAAAACATCCACTATTTCCCATAATTAGGGGTAGATAGCAAAATGAAAATATTATTTGGATTCAGCAACACGTCAATTAATTGATGTACAATATTCAAGTTTTATGAAAATGTAGAAATATAGATTTTTTTTACTCCTAATTAGGGATTGATTTCAAAACTGATAACAAATTTGGATTTGGCATTTCAAAAACTAATAGAATTGATATTTTTCACAATTTTTTGAACTCATATTTAGAAGGTTTTAATTAATGCAAGCTAATCTAAAACACAGACCACTGTGCACCGGCGGCCGTATGGCAATCAAGCGTGTTAATCACCTCAAAGCAAGTTTTTTTTTTTTTTATCGAACCGATTAGTATTTAAATAATAAAAATATAACTTTGTATGGGTTTCAGCAGTAATTTACCATAACTAATATTTATATATGACTATAATAATAAAAAATGTAATTTATTTACAATATTGCAGATTACATTGATTGATACAAATAGAAAAAAAAATATATTCTTATGTATACGAGTAAATACATTTAACTAGCTACTTGTATTTTTAGTTGATTATATTTATCTTAATGTACTTAAAAAGTATTTTTAATAATTTTCATACCTGATGATTTGTATTAAAAACTTATAAAAAACATGAAAATATCGAATTACAACAATGATGATACAAATAATTTTTCCCCCATTTATTTTACCTCAAACTATAAACTGAAAGTAATTCTATATTTTTTTGTATAATATTATTTTCTACAATATAAAGTAAAAATAATATTTTATAATGATATTAAGTACCTATTAAAGGTAATAAAAATAATAATTTAATTTTTCATTCCTTATGGAATCCTAACATAAGTATCTTAACCATCTAAAATATTTTACTACATAATTAAATTTGTAATACTTGCTTTTAAAACTAAATAACTATATTAAAAACACAGGGCTGCTTCACAAGTTATAACTACTATTAATTTGTTAAATATACATTTTTATTTGCATACTTTATTAATCATAATTAATAAATATAGTTTTAATTAAAATATGAAATTTAATTTACCTGGGTGCTTTAAAATGATCAACATTTTCTAACATATTAACATTGTTTATGTCTCTAACAAATTATTTTCTCTGATATTAACAGTAGCATTTCTGAACTATACGCATTATTTGACAAATAATTGAACAGCCATAGATTTTCGATACTTGACGTGTTTATGCACTAAACGATGTGGTTATGTACATAGAACTATAATCTGATCCAAACTCATTTTTTATAATTTTGAGTTAAACGGACTTCTGAAATAATCGATTCATTCAATTGATGTCGGAGTAAATTAAAAATAAACATTTGTTCTTGTGCGTACAGTGGCGTATTTACAAACAATTTTGGGAAAGGGGTTGTTATCATCATTTTTTTTTTTATAAACCAGTATAAAATGGTCAACATTAAATTTTTATAGTTTTATTATCTTCTTATTGAAAATGTAAAAATATATACATACAGTGTACTCTCGATTATCCGCGGATAAAAATATAAAAACTAAAATGATGCAAAATACTTTAAACACTACAGTTAAGTTCTAGTCAATACGTGTGTTCGTACAGTAAACAGAAGACTAAATAGGTATACGCGTTATTAAGGTATGTTTACACTAGTGCGTTTTTTCTTGCGTTAGACGCATGCGTCATAGCGCACCACGAGTTGCACGAAAAAGCTTGCAATAACGCATGCCCTTTCGAATTCAACGGCAACATTTTCGTGACGCACGCTTAAGCGCAAGGACTTCCGCGCTCAGTGGGAATCCGTTCAACACGCCGTGCATTTTAGCCACTTACCTATTATTTTGAGCCATTACTTTAAATACCTATTTGTTTTTTATTAAAAAATGGCTGAAAGTGAAGACCAAAACCAAACATCACGTTTCATTGAAGAATACAGGTAATAAATTATTAAATTAATATTAATTTTTAATTTAATACATTTGTTTATATTAATTATTAGTTTATACATTTATTTAATTTTATTTACATAGTAATTTTAGGTAACTGAGTATTTATTTTGTTTTTTTTATTTTTAGATCGTTTCCGCTACTGTGGGATGCCAATCATAAATGGTACACTAACAAAATTAAAAGAAACGATGCCATTGTCGCGATCGGCACAACATTTAACATGGACGTGGCAGCTGTAAAATCTAAAATAAAAAGCTTGCGATCATACTTTTCTAAAGAACGACAAAAAGTACTTAAAAAAAAATCTGGTTCCGGAACGGAAGAAAATTATTCTTCCTCATGGTTTGCATATAACTCGCTGCTTTTTATTTCTGATTCAACAACACCAAGGGAAACTAGGGATAGCGAGGAAGATGGTAACCCGACAACAAGTATTAGTAATAATGAAAACGTAAGTTATTTTATTTTTAAGTAATTCTATTAGTAGATTTTGTTATTCGTTTATTCCTCAAATTGTATTATTAGATTCTGCGCGTTGTTTTTTATCTGTTATCTGCGATAACCATACAAAATACTGGGTTTATACATAGACCTTATAAGGTCTATGGGTTTATATTACTATTAAATAATTTATATTATCTGTAAATAAATAAACCATATAATAATATAATATAATTTTACACTATATTGTATAATAATAATAAAAATAATAATAATAATATCTTGCACATAATAGTACGTATAGTACGTAAAAATCTAATATAATCAAAAAGAGAAATAACTCAATATTTCTACAATCCTACTGTATTTTGTTTACATGTATATATCCTGAAAGGGAACTGATCCGATTTCGGACATGAAATATTGCATAAATTCTTCCCTGACATTTGTTGCTGTTGTCGCTGGTCTTCGTGGAATTGATCGAAGTGGCATCAAACCAGTGTCACCAGAAGTGATTTCTCTCCACGATCCAGAAATAATTTCCCCTGTACATGAATCATAACTATCGAAACACCCTGACGTTGAATAAAATTGTCTAGAATCGGGTTGCACTCTTAAAAAATTGTGAAGGTAAACACAAGCCAGTACAATATTAACTATTGTGTCTTCAACTTTTATTTCTATCGGCTTGCGAAAAACTCTAAACACAGAAGAAAGTAATCCAAATGTATTTTCTATAATACGACGCGCTCTGGACAACCTGTAATTGTATACTCTTTTTGGAGATCCTTTGTTTAAATCTGTCTTGTAAGGTTTCATAATATGTTCAGTTAGTGGGAATGCATCATCGGCCACTAAAACATAAGGAAGTGATAACGTACGACCAGGTAGTGGTTCATTTTCTGGCAAATTAAGTTCATTTTTTTCGAGTTTATTATAAAACGAAGTATTTTTGAAGACACCTCCATCTGAAATTCGGCCTTGGCATCCAACGTTAATGTACAAGAAACGATAGTTTGCATCAGCTATTCCTAATAAAACAATACTATTTGTTCCTTTGTAATTGTAAAACTCACTTATCGTATTTTCTGGTTTTTGAATTACCACGTGTTTGCCGTCAATGGCACCGAGGCAGTGGGGGAAATTCCATAGCTTATTAAATTCGTTTGCAATAGATTTCCATTCTTGTTCACTTGAAGGAAGCTGTAGGAAAAATGATTTATTATTATATGTAATAACTTGCAGGATCTACAAGATGAAGAAATATGTGACAATCTGCAAAATACTACAACTAATGATTATGAATTCATACAACCCATAAGGGCAAAGAGGAATTTAAAAAAAAGTTTTCGAAATGAAAGAGAAGATGAGGCTTACAAATTTATGAAAAAAGCAGCTCACGAAATATCGGCAAAAGATGAATTTTGTACATTTGGCACTTTTGTAGTAGATAATGTAAAGATAAAGCTTAAACCCATCAACCAAATTTTGGCTAAACGTCAGATTACCAATATGCTTATGGATTTACAAATTAAAGAAGTGGAAACATGTGAAAGACAACGTTTGATAACTGAATCGTCAGACACCTCAACTGGGACATTTAATAGTGATACCCAGTCTTTTACAATTGACGAGTCTTCAAATCTTGCAGTGAACACAGTTCATCACTTGACTTCACATGACAACATAAACGACTCGTTCCGTATCGGTGAATATTTATCATTCAGTACAGCCAATAATGACATTTAATGTGCCTACATTTTTTCATTCTCATTTTTTAATGTAATAAAAAGACCTACCTATGTGTATTTAATATTAAAATGTTTCCTATGCTCTACTTATTGTTAGTTATGATAAGAAAATATTTAAAACGTATAAAAGTATTAATAAAACAATAATTTCATGATGTAATAAATAATAATATGTAATTACTTATAACTTATGTCAAATTTTATTTTATGCATACATTTACTTACCTTGATATAATTCTGTAGAGCATTTACTATAGCTTTCAAAACCGTGGGCAACATAGTCGATATGAATGGCTTGGAAACTTTAAACAGGTACATTAAAGAGGAAAACGAATCTCCAGTTGCTAAATATCTTAGTGTTATTAACAACCTAATTTTAGCTGGAACAGACTCTCTAAAACGAGTGTTTTGTTTTTCTATTTCTGGTTCAATTATTTGTAGTATTGAGTAAAAATTTGATCTGGACATTCGCGTAAAGTTTTTAAATAAAATATCTTCGTCTAATTGCAAATCGTCTATTATTCCAAAATTTCGAGTTTTTAAATAATTTTTAACCCACAAAGAACGTTTTTTCCTACGTTTTTTATTTGCACTCGCAATCATTAAATAGGCCGCACTGACACCAAGAAGTACATGTGAGTCCGACATGCTTTTTATTAACAAGTTGGAAAACGACTGCTTTGTGACGTCGCTAGTGTGAACAGAAAAAAGCATGCGTCAATAACATTCAATAAAGGCATGCACTTGGTGAAAGTAGAATTGAATGTTGAGACGCAAGTTGAATTGAAAATTGAAGTGGAAAGCGCACTAGTGTAAACATACCATTAGATCAACTGCAATGTAATGTACAATTCGCGTTATCGCATAATCGATTATCGTAACCCAATTAAACCGATAATGATTTAAGATGTAAAGATAAATATCATTGATTAAATATACATAGTTAGTTCAAGTCAATGGACAATTTGGGAATAGGAATATTAGTAACATAAGAATGTCAATAGAGAGCGTGTACAATAATTGTCCGCCAATTAATTATTATCGCAATCATGTAGACTGTGTAAACACTGAAAACTTTTACGTGGGGCAAGGGGAATTCTGGTTGAAGACCTTAATTAACTGTCATACAGCGATAAGATTCCGAGAAATTTACTATTTACCAGATATCTTGAAAACTGAATTTATATGACTATTGGTATTTCGATTTAATATTATTATTTATTTTGATTTCGTCAATCGTTACAAGCAGGGCCGGCGCTACCTTTTGCGAGGCCCTGGGCAAAACTTATTTTACCAATAGCCATAGTCACCTATAGTCTGTAGAGGCCATAATCGGGCCATAATTAAAGGCAAAAATGTATCAAAAATGTATGTTCCGAACAAAACAATTGTTTTAATTAACTTTAAAAATAAAAAATACATTAATAAATATACATTTTCAACTCTTAAATGATTAGTTTTAAACGTGTCAACACTTGTCTTACACTAGTCAACTTACAATTAGTATACTATTAATTACTATCAATTATAAATGTGGTCATTATTGGTTAGAGACTTAGAGTTTTATCTTACATAACGAAACATTTAAACATTAGAAATAAAAAAATAATAATAAATTTAATTAATATTGAATATTTAAAATTTTTTCCTAGATTTTTTGGACGCAAACAATTCTATAACATTTTTAAAGTCCAGTGTGTTAGCTACTTCATTTTCTATTGCAATCATAGCCAATTCAGTCAATCGTTTTTGAGACATTGTGTTTCTGAGGTAATTTTTGATTATTTTGAGCTTTGAAAAACTCCTTTCTGCTGAAGCTGAGGTTATTGTTATGGTTAACAAAATTCGGAGTGAAATAACTATGTTAGGAAAAGCAGTAAAAGAACCAGGCATTGTTTTTAAAAAACTGAGTGCTCCTATAGGAGTAGAATCTTCTTTCACTGTATGACGAAAAACTAGTAACTCTTCATACAATTCAGAAGCAACTATGTCATATGAATCTCCATCACTTAAATAATTTTGTAAATTTAAACAAATCTTCATAAGGTCGTCATTTGTTATTTTTCGGAGTTCACTAATATTGTATAAGAAACTGAAATTGTTGTTATAAATTTGAAATTGATTAAATCGTTCATTAAATGACGATAAAGCTCCATCGGCAATTACATTAAAATAAAATGTTCGGAAATTTTTTTCTGGATCATCATTTATTTCATCAGAATTTTCATAATCAAATTGTTTTTTTGTCTTTCTAAGACGCTTCTTTTTAAATGTTTTATTAATATTCATGATATCTACTATTTCATTAGCTTTAATTTTTGATGATTCAAAACCATTCATTCGAAATGATTTTAAAAATTCTAAAAGACCATTTAAAAGGTTACTACATTTGTCCAAATGAATATTAATGTTTTGTAAAGTTTTGTTTACAGTATTTACCTCGACTAATATTTCATACTAAATGACCAAACTAAGAATAAATTCATAGCTTTCTAGTTCATTTGAAGCTAATGACTGAGCTTCACTTTTCGTTTTTGAATCTGAAGTTGTATAAGCCACTTCTTCTAATGCTCTAAAAAGTTCGGGTACTTGGTAACGTATAGCTTTGATACTGTTAACTTTACATTCCCATCTGGTTTCTGAAAGTGGCTTTAGTGTTAAAAATGTACAATGTTTTTTTAAAATATCCCAGCGTTTTATGGAAGATGCAAACAAACAATATATCCTTTGTATGGTGCCAAAAAACCCAACCGCTACGGTGGAATTCTTTGCTATATTACCCAACAACAAATTTAAATTATGACATGCACATGGTGAAAAAAATGCTCTAGGATTTTTTTGCTATAATTCTTGATTGAACCCCTTTGTACTGGCCTTTCATATTGGCACCATTATCATACGCTTGTCCACGACAATCTTTTAGATTACTATACCTATACTATTTAATTTGTCTAATAAAATATTTGTCAAATCATATCCAGTTGTAGAATGAACATTAATAAATTCTATAAAATATTCTTTGATGCAAGGTATTGTAGACATACTTTTGTTTCCCATATCTAGAATACGAATAATTATAGAAAGTTGCTCTTCTCTACTAACATCTGGAGTGCAGTCCATCATAATAGAAAAGTATTTGGCTTCTTTGATTTCTTCTACAATCTGTTGACGAATTTTTTGCGCTATAAGTTCAATCAGTTCATCTTGTATTTGGTGACTTAAATAATGATCATGAGTTTCATTATTTTTTATCCGACGAACGTGTTCTTGAATAACTGGATCAAATTTGGCCATCATCTCTATAAGACCTAAAAATTTACTATTATGTTTCGTGTAAATGACATCAGAAGATCCCCGAAATGCATCACCATGTTTTGCCAAATAAAAAATTGCTGATAAAATTCGTTTAAGTACATCTTTCCAATATTGCTATTGTTTTCAATTATATTATGTACAAATTGAGAATCTTTGACTTCAGTTAATGTTGTCGTTACTCGATAGCACTCAAATTCTCAAAATAGGTACGTTAAATTGTACGTATCTATAGTTATCGTAGTATAACTGGCGTAATATGTGATCAGACTCGGTGACAGCTGCACGTGATATCGGATAATGACTAATTCAATTCAAGAAATGCGATAAGATAAACTTTCTAGGTATCCCGGTTTCCATACCGTGTGGCGTGTTACGGGTCGACGTTGGTGTATATACTGTATACATGACATATTATTATAATATAGTATAATATTGTTGTTTTGATAATTTGTTTTACTACACGCCAACCGATTTCTCGTGAAATCGTACTCGCCAGGCGATCCACACATTTCACGTTTTATTTTAGGAGATTTCTATACATTTATTCATAGTATAATGAATTAATATAATAATTTATAATATCATATATTTTTCAATGAACATTTTAAGCGCGAGGCCCTTGAAGGCGCGAGGCCCTGGACAAATGCCCCGTTTTGCCCCCCCCCCCTAACGCCGGCCCTGGTTACAAGTCTTAGATTTTGACTTCCGAATGGAACGAGGAATGTATTAATTTATATTTACATTTTACAATAAAAATAAATACAGGAATAATTAATAATATTATGAATGAATATATCATTGTTGTAGTTTTATTAAAATAATAATAGCACTAAAATAAATAACAAAAATAACATCACTAAGTATTAAATACTTAAATATAATGAAATATCCTACTAAAATAATAATGAAGTTAATATATATACAAATTAATTAATCATTATAATATATTTTTATTTTTATAAAATGTATACTAACAACACATTTTTAGTTATTACTTAAAATACTTAATTTATTTTTGTTTTTTTCAATTCTGGTGCTTTTAATATTTTTTGATTTCCAATTAAAGTCTCTAAGGAGTTTACAATTAATAAAATGAATAATTATATAATGAAAATGGTCACTGCACGATTTATTAAATTTACAAATATATGACAAATCGCTTTTTATTTTATCATAAAGGAATTGTCGTATGCTTTTTTTATGTGGCATTATTTCAACTGTTTTTTTTAATTATTTGTTGTGCTAAAGTAATAAATTGAATAAAGTCAGATTTTGGTCTTTTCAAAAAAATATCAGATGTTTTAGAATCATAGTTTCTACAAAAAAGTAAATAATTGTTTTGGTTTTATGGAAGATGGAAAATCAATCATTTTGTGCATTAAAGTTCTAGTTCTTGGTGTAATAACCGGAGAACTGGCAATCGTAGATGAAGATGGTAATATATGAGATGTAGTAGGTGTTAAAACATGGATCGTTTCTTTCGGGCTGAATGTCATTTTGGATGGTGAACAATTTGTTGATGATGACAGTTTTCTTTTTGTGACAACAACAAATGGACTTGATAAAGAATAATTTGGTTTTTTTTTGTACATTGTTGTTGGTAAAGTAACATGTAAATTATCATCTTCAATTGCAGAGAACGTTTGTGGTATTGAAGATCTTTTTAAATGTTGTTTGTTATAACTTGTAAAATCGTTTTCTACAAAATGATGCTCACAAATTCGCTTTTTGTATAAATCAGTTTCATCAAGGTGTAATAAATCAGTATTCCCTAAAAAATTAAATACATATTTATAACTTACAACTAGATAATATGTAGAAAAATCATATTTTTCATTCATACAATATTTTATATTATACTAGAATTTTATATTAAAATACAAGTTATGCTACATACTAGGTTTTGACCAAAATCAACTGTAGGTATACAATATAAAAATGTAACAGTATACAGCTGCTGTATTATAGCAACATATAATCCTAGGTGTATAAGTTTAGTTTAATATGAATAAAAAAAAAAAAAAACTGCTATAGGGAGTTTATATTTTGCTTTAGTAGGTCAGTACTCGTAAAATTACAAAACAAAGTGAATCAATTTATTTGTATGTTATGCAATTTAATTAAAGTCCACTCAATACCTATTAGTTTAGCAAATTTAATAGTATAGCATATAAACTAAAAATATATAAATTATATACCTAAATATTATATTCATTAATTTTATTAGTATTTTAATTTCCTACCACAGTTTAAGATCCAATGTTTAGATAAACTTGCATCTCTTGGAAAACGGAAGAGTTTTAGACCCAAGTCAGAACGAGCTTTTTTACCACAGTTTACATATGAACATTTAGTACCACAAGCACGAGACATTTTAAAAATGTAATATTATAATATTAAACACAGAAAAAAAAACATTTTTATAACGTTGTATCATAAATCGTTAACCGTTATGGTTATTGCAAAATGTAAATTTAAATATTGAAATATTCAATTTGGCATCGCTAATGATAGTGATAACATTAATAACAGATAGGTGATAACTATTTGGTCTTGGTAAGTTAAAAAATTTCCATGGTAGAATAAATTACTAACAGCGCAACCTATTGGCATGGCTCCCACACTACTACAATTCTGGCTCCCATTTCACTTTATAAAGCGTTAACGATTTTTCCTATCTCTTGGACTATCTATGTATATTTAATCAATGTAAATATATATATTTTTTATTATTATCCGCGGAAGACAGCAGATAATCTGCTTCGCAGATTATCGAGAGTACACTGTACATATAATAATTAATTTCATTATTGGTTGATTACGGAAAAAAAATATAAAAGAAATATAGAATAGAATATATTTACATCAGTATATTATACTATACATCAGGTTATTAACATGATAACAAGATTAACATGAGAAAAACAGGAATACAATTTGGCCATCAAGAATATCTAATCATTATTAGATTTTCAAGGTAAAAACGATCGATAGAATAAGTAGTAGATATAGTAATAATGATAAATAAATCTTCATCCAACTATCGCTACAATTAGTAGACAATAATTTTCTACGAACTGCAGGCTACAGGAATAGGCTTTGGCCTGTGAATGTATGTTTTTCGATTTGCACAGTTGGCAATAGGAGTAGTAGTGATTTTTCACGTGTGTTTTATTTTTCTTCAAATTTAATGTAAACAAGACCTAATTTAACGTAATAATATTACGTTAAATTAGGTCTTGTATATAACATATTATGTTATATGGGAATTCCCTTCTATATATTTCATAGCGATTCTAAAATAGCAAAAATCATTTTAATACATGAAGTAACAATCACTATTACATTTTCAGTATCGTTTAATTAAGTAAATACTTAGATTTTTTGTTTCTTTCAAATAAATAAATAAAATTTGGTAATTATAAACGTGATTTGATTTATTTTCAACTTCCTTCGCTCTCACCACTAGAATACCGTCCGAAGAGCGTATCGATGAAGGGCATTCACTCAATTTTAGTAGAGCACTTAACTCGTGCACTCCACCGGATAGCTTTTTTATTAGTTTTTTTTTTCCGCCATAAACTAAATAATATTAATAACTATAGAAAAAAATAACCATATTTTATGATCGATAAAATTAAAATATTATATAAATTACGACTTTGTCTTTCTCAAAAAGTATAAAAAAATTGTTACAATCGATTGTCAAAAGATTTGCAAAAGGATTTGTGATATTAGTTCTATACATTATTTTTATAAAAATATTATTTACATAAAACATACTGAGAAGATAATTTTGTAACACTAAAATCAATATTGGAAATTGGATGCAAATAGTATTTTAGATAGACACTTTTTCGATAGTCTCAGAAGTTTTTCCAGTTAAAATTAAAATTTGGAAATAATATTAAGTTTACCCATCAACTGTTTTGTTTGTTACATAAGCAATTTCTGATATAATGACTTGAAAAATATATGTAAGGGCGATTTTTAACCATTTTAGGTAGTGTTCAAAATCAAATTTTCTGAATATTGGATAGTGTTTAAAATTCAGAAAATTTAATTAAACCTATTGTTTTTTTGGTTTAAAGTATCTTAAATGTTCGTAACTATATTTACGAATATTGACAATATTTATTTTCTATAATTGTTTAATTATAAGTGTTGTACTCGAATGACTTTCACTACAATTTAAATTACATACATCAAAAACATCAATCACAGGTATCTTAACGATTTATTGTTTTCATAAAAATAGCTTCTATTGTAACTGTATAATTAAACGAGCTTAATACAATGAATAATCGTTATGATCTTTTGTGTTATGACAAAATAATATTATCTCGACCTAACCTAACTTAACCTATTTAACTGTATTGTTTTTATTCTTCTTCTTCTTCTTCTTCTTCTTCTTGGTTTTATAACTCTTCAAGTTTTCGTCGTCACCGTCAATGCCTTCCATATTTCCCTATCCTGGATAATTTCTCTCTAGTCCTCTACAGATAGCGTTCTAAATTAAGTCCTATTAAGTGTTAAGCCCTTAAGTTTTCTTATTTTGTAATGTATTGTATTTATATTGTATAATAATTTACAATGGATATACAATTGTAAAATAACATTTTTAATTTTAATTTGATTTATACATTTTTAATATTAAAACTATTTACTAGGTATTGGGACTTACGTAATAAATAATAATTAAACCGAAATCAAATAACTCGCCGTTTCATCCGTCTCGTGTGCAATGAAAAAAATAAACTATATTTTTTATAAATTTAACTATGTATGTATTATGTACAAATGTAAATAAAAATTAACAAAATAAATGGTCCAAACCCATATAAAAGCTATAGCAATAGTATAAAAACCATTTTAAAATTGTCATTACATATAATAGTGATAAAGTAAATTCTTGGTAATCCGGCCGTACGATAATCCGGTACGTCCAGTAATCCGGCAGTATTTTATCTTAATATTTTGTCTTAAAAGCATCATTTTAAATAAAAAACCAAAAACAAATTGATAATTTTTTTAAAAGAATACCTTCAAAAGATTAATTCGCAGTATGTTATAAATTAGTATGTATGTTATATGTTAGTATGTATAATCTAATCAAGAATTTGGATATATATATATTACCTATAATATCTGTTAAGATTTTCAATATAATGATCATCTCAAGTTAACACCTATATCGTAGAACTTAACTACCTCCATAATTTATTATATATTTTATAAATAACCACATACAGTCTAAAAAAATGGTATAATTATTTGTTTATAATAATAACTTATTACGCATAAAAAAACAAAACAAATGTTATACTAAGAATCAAAAATAAAAATAAATTATCAAAATATTACTTATACATTAAATAATTGTTTTGAAAAATTGGTTGATCTCCAAATTCTAGAAAAATAAAAAAGGAAAAAGTATCAAAAAAACTTTGCAGTTAAAATATTGTTATGTAAGCTTAATTGTTGTTAAATTTTATTTTGGCTATTCATTCATACAATATTTATTTACAGTTGAAATGAAGAAGTTATTATTGTATTTGAAATTAAACAACTGTCTACCATAATATATTTTGTTAATAGGTATAAGCAGATTTGAAAATTAGCTAAACTACTTAAAAGTATAATAAAAAATATTTGTTTTATGTTATAAATGTAATGTAATAATCACATTGTTCAACTATAGGATATAAAAACCTTATGTAAGATAACATGTTAGCTATTGTTAACTGTTTAAAAAAAATGTAATAACCAAGATATTGCAAGTTATTTGATATCTCTACATTACGACCAAATATTTGACGAATAAAAACAACTGTATCATATTTTATAACACAATTTTAAGTAAATTCATTTACAATCTACCTCTTCAGAGAAATATTATGACTGATTCACTCACATTCAGGAAAAAATGTATAACCTGTACAAATATTAAATTATTATTATTAATTTTCGATTTATTTAAATTCATTTTTATATGGTCTTTTTCGTTGACTCCTAAAACCGTACACTTTTGATAAAATACAGAACAAAACCGCACAATTTTTAAAATTTTTGTATCCATAAACCGCATATTTTTAATTTCGACCCCAAAATGGTTATACTTACCTAAGTTAAGTATACTTAATAATTTATAATTTATTCAAACAAAAAAAAATGCATACACGAGTATTCTAAAATGTAAAAAAATATACTATATTTTATATATATAATATACTATATATCTATACACAAGAGACAAGACCAATAAAGTAAAAACTAATGGTGACTGAAGTATTAAAACTTGTTAGCATGATTATTGCAGTATATCTTATAATCTTATCTTATCAGTTAATTAACACTAATAATAGTGTGTGGTTTAACCACTATAAGTTTGGGCTAATTTTGTTATACAATGACCGATAAAGTGTGCGGTTTTCGGATGCAACCGTATTTTTTAGTAAAATATTTGAAAACGCCATGATTAAATTAGATTAGATAAATATTGTAAAGCGTCGAGATATCTGAACAATTTATTTATTTAAAACGTTCCATTCTTGTAGTATATTATAAAAATATCTGTATACAATTCATTATGTGAATAAACATATTTTTATTAGTTTATAATTATTTTCATATTTTTGGCATTATTTTAATATTAATAGACTGTAAGAGTGGATCTAGATTTTTACCAAGGGGGGGGGGCTAAGGGGCTATAGCCTCCCCCATGGGCCGTGTTTATATGTATAATGTATTTTGACTATTTAATAGAATCAATGCTCGTTTTAATCAAAGGCTTATTGATGTTATGCCACTTGAAGGACTTATTCCGGCCAATAAAAATGTATGACGATATAAATATTATAAAAGTTGCTAAAATATGTGTCCAAGATCTCCATGATGATACCTCATCTACAATCAGGGCTGACCTGTTCATATGGAGGCAACAATGGAGTCAAAATACTATTCCAAAACCGAATTCTGCTCTTGATTCACCCTCTCATCACACCAATCTTCGACTTAACATTAAAATACTTTTACAATTATTCGCCACGTTACCAGTTACCTCTTTCACTCCGGAAAGAACGTTTTTAGCATTTAATCGCTTAAACATTTTTTTAAGAAGCACCATGTCGGAAAACAGAATGAATGGGTTAGCTATGGCTAATATAAATAAAAAAGAGCAATTCCATGAAAGTGAAATAATAACTGAATTTGCCAGAAATTGGCCTAAGAGAATTCAGCTGTCAGAGTGGAGCAAGTGACTGAACACTCAAACCAAAATTATTATTATTATTATAAATTATATATTAATAAATATTTTTAAAACTATACTAAAATGCTTGAATTACGTTTAGAAACTTTGTGGTAGATGGTGGGGGGGTTAAGGGTGAATTCTCATATCCTCTCTTACCTTACTTATCCAAAAAAAGTGGTTAGCCCCCCCCCCCCATTTAAAAATCCTGGCTACGCCACTGGAAATATGTATATATGATAAATTATAAAAAGTTA